GCTGCTACCAGTAACGCCAATGATTATTGATATTATCACACTGTAACGTAAGGAAGTTGGGACTAAATGACCTGTGAAGGTTCTTCTGAAATTCTATGATCAAGTAGGATATACAGAACAAGACCAAGTTCAAAGATTTCAATATATAGGAAGTAAATCAGTCAGCAAATATTGAGAACCTGTATTATTGAAAGTTTTGTAATCTTAATTGTGTAGAAGTAAAGTTGAAAGTATATGAAAGGATTTTGTAGCTCTGTACTTAGAAGGTGCTTCAACGTTTAATGTGATCTAATTTATTATCCTTTCTTCACCTGGTGATATTGCAAATTTTATCACGGTTTTTAGGTAACCCAAGAATATGATGAAAAGAACAGAACACATTTGCTTCCGTCGAGTTAGGATTGAAACTGAATGCTTAATAGAGGAAGGTAAGATATAAGAGTCAAAAGTAATTTTAGAGATTATAATTGAACAGAGAAAACAGGGCAAAATTCACACAAAATAACACAGATAACAAAAGCAGTTAACAACTCATAGAAATAAGGGCAGGAAGAGGGCACTGCTGGAGCAAGAGGAAATAGGATCACAGCGCATTAGAACGGACAAACTCCTAGTAGAAACCTAGATTTTACAGTGAACAAAACCTCGTAAACAAGACCAGGACAGGACGAGGAGTTGGGGAGAGAGCCTCGGGCGTAGGGGTTTGCAGCCCTAGCCGTGTGATCGCTCCTTCAGTTCTGTGATTCTCTATAACATGAAAGGATTCGTTTTTTAGACAGATATTTAAGAGCCACACAATGACATGGTAATAGTCCTTATTACCTCTCGGTTACCTTTTCCACTGAGCTGGAAAGTTCCTTAACTTTCCGGGAAATTAGTAAGTAAAAAGGCAAAAATGCAAATCCAAACTGACCCTGTGCGACTAGGTCTCTGAGCGAAAACGACAAGGCCGAAGAAAGACAAGCAGCTGGGTCGAGGGAAAAGGCCGGCTGGGACTCGTTAGGGTAAACCCGCCGACCGCTGGCAAGAGGAGGGGTGGGGCCGGCCTAGCCGGGAGGCGGGGTCTCAGCGCAGGCGGAAGGGGCGGCTCCGCGGGCGGAAGTGACGTGCGCCGGCTTTTGGCTCTAAGCGTGGGGGGGCGGTGCAGCCGGTCGCTGGAGGAAGGCGGTGGTGTCGGAAAAGGTTCCGGCGGTTGATGGCGTCTTAGGCTCGGAAACCTCTCTAAGGTTCCTCGTCTGTCCGGAAGCCCCTCACAGGGTAAGCGCTTTCCCCGGCCTGCTCTAGTGTCCTGTGCGGGGCGGACCCCGGCTGGAGCTCTTGGGGAGCTCGTGAGACGCCCCTCAGCTCCTAGAGTTTAGGGGCCTGGCGGGTCTCGGGAATGGTCTCCGTGGTGATGATGCAGCCAAATGACGACGCTTTCCCTGCGGAGGAAGAGTCTTTCCTCCCGGACGGTGATTGTGACGCGGGTGTGGGCAACTTTGGTTAGCAGTGGAGTTGGAAAAGGCGACCGGTGGCTGCCCCGTACGGCGGGGAGGCCCCGGGATAGGCCTTAGCGATTTGGGGGAGGCGTGTGGGTCGTGGGTTCTTTGGCGGGGGGCGAGTGACGCGGGGGACCCCCCCTCCCAAAGGAGAAACTGTCTTGCCCGAGGCTCGACCCTAGGGTGAGTGTTTTGAGGGCAGAGAGTGTGCTGCCGGCGTCGTGAGCCCGGGCAGACATCTAGGTCGAGTCCGAAAAGGACGCTCGGGTTTGCTCATGCGGAGTGAAACCCAAGTGTTTTGGTTTGAGTCGCCCGTGGAGAAGGAGGCGGAGACTCGCTGCGCCGCCTCTGTTATCGGGTCGCGGGCGGAGTTAGTTCTGGCCGGCTTGCCTGCCTCACCTGGGACACGGCATTAGGAAACGCTTTCTTTTGGCCTGTTGACTAACGACCCGCTACGCCGAGTGTTTCCAGGGATCTTAACAGATCTTATGGGGAGAGTCACGTCTTTCTTTGCTTAGGCAACTTTTCTTGATTTCACAACTCTTCCTCCCCTCAACCCGACACCCCGCACGCACGTCCGCCGTGTGTGGACAAGTCCCGACGTGGCGTTCCTCCCTTGGGAGGATCTTGGTTAATGATTGTGTGTGTGTGTTGATAAACATACCGACTTATTGATAATAGTTTTGTTTGAAAACACTGTGGCATCTGGCTTTCTACATTAGGTTTTAGGTTTCACAAAAGTAGTTGTTAGGAAATAACCATTGTGTCAGGGATTTAGATGGGACAGTAAGTCTTAATATTTCAACTCGCTGCATTCCGTTTAATTGCAAAATTTCTACAAACCGTGCACGAACAGTAACGAATGATAATTTTGGGACTCAATTACAAAAGTACTTAAAAGATGATTTGAGTAACCTGTTACTCTAGAAGTGGGCTAATTGCCCTCAAAGTGCTTGCTGTTCAGGTATATACAAAGGCCGAGGCCTTGCTTTCATTCTGTTCTTAGCGAGGATAGACTTGATTTCTTTTAGGATTACTTGATTATGTTAGAAATGACTTTTAACAACTTCAGAGAACATCGTATTATAGCTTTTGTTTTCTAGTTATATATTTAAATTGCACACCTCTGTTTACAATTATGGCTGCAGTCATTTGTGTAGAATTCACTAGTAAATACCTTTTTCCTTAACAAAATAACAGGTATTTTGGAATTCTAAGTTTCAGCCCTTGTAATGGTGCTAAATATTTTTGAAAGGCCCTCACAATGCTTTTCTATACTTTGGGGGGGTGGGGTGGAGAAATTATCTCACATGTGAAGTTTATTGGATTGTATTTCTTGGAATTTGGATACTTCTAAAGTAACCTTTTGGCCATATGCACTTCTGGCTTTTTAAAATTTATTTTGTCCCATGTAAACCCTTCATAGAAGAAAATTTCCTTTTAATATATATGGGCCAAGGTCATAGCTTTTTAGAAACCAACTTTTAAAACAATCTAAAAAGTAAAATGCAGTGTGAGTGACACCTGGGCAGCGTGTAGTTCTACTCACCTGTAAAGAGTTCTGGAGATAAATTTCTGTAAGAGTGCAAATGAACAGTTTGGTGGCTTTGCTTCTGCCTCCTAGAAAGATTGCTAATAACATTTTTCTGGTTTATAAACCAGCTGTGATAGTCTTTGAGTTAAAAGTATGAATAATTGGAAACTAGAATGTCAGAATCGTTTTTTCCTTCAGATATTTGTGTGTCCTAGAGGACAGATCTGGAGATAATTATAAAAGTTCATATCTTTTTGAAGATTTAAAAAACTTTCGCTAAGTTTGTCAATCACTAGTAATGTGTTTTTATTATTAATCTTTATTTGCTCTGGTTTTACTAACTTATTATGGAAGTTTTGAAACATACACAAGAGAACAAACAGTAAAAGGAACCACTGTTTTTGCCACTTGTTTTATTATCCCCTCTACCATTTATTTTTTTCCTCTGGAGTTTTTAACCTAGACATCAGGATATTTCACTTATTATAAGTTTAGCATGTTAACTAATAAGACTTTGGAAAAAACACAATCACCACAATCATATTATCACATAGAACAAAATTGCTTCTTGAATTCTAATTGTTAAACTGGCAAATTATATAAAACATGTATTTAAATTAAAAATCTGAATTTGATTAATGCATAGAAGTTTTTAGTATGATCTATTTTCTACTTTAGTTGACTAAGGCTTACATTTTTGGGCTATTCAAGTAAAATGAATATCAGGAGCCACTGGAAGAATACTATCACAAAAGCCAGATCTGTTTTGGGCTTGAAAAAGTTTTAAAAAAGTAAAGATAACATTGAAATGCCTTTTCTCCCAGCAGATTTATTTTAGCTAGTTAACTGAATGCCCACTGCATATTGTTTATCTTTTCTTTAAATATTGATGAATTCCCCAAATAACAAAATTGGATTTTAGACCAAAGACTTTATACTATAAGGTTTATACAGCCTAACACATATAAAGCAACTCTAGATATGTTAGAATTTAAGGGAATATATTAGGAAACATGGAAGAGGGCAGCACGTATATGCATTTCAGACTTTGATTCCCAGCCTAATTAATGTATCTGGTCCTTTTCATTCTTGATTGGAAAATTTTGACTTAGCTTTGGCTTGCATCTTAATGTACCCATGTTTTTGGAGATGTACTTTAGAGAATGGAAAGAAACCCTTCATTTGTGTGTAGGGCTATTTCTTCTCCAACAGTTTGTTCTTTTTCACAGGATGTTAGTGAGGCTACACTTCCCAAGCATTACCACAAGGTGATGCAGTGACTTTGCACATTACTTCTCCACTGGGTGGTGTGTGTGTGTGTGTGTGTATGTGCATGTATGTGTGAGCATGGGTAGTGTATTAATCTGCCTGTGAATCATCTTGATATATTGGCATTCTCAGTGAATTTCAGCATTTTTATAAGCTTGCCCATATTTTCACTCCTTTATCTGTGGGAGGAGTGAAACAGGAACTGTATGGGAATTAGAAATTTCATTTTACTATTTAAAGTGGGTTGATTTGTGTTGTAATTACATTCATTTTACATTTATTCTACATTAACTTTTTCACGACTAGAAGATACATTGGAATTTATATAAAAATAAAGTAAGAGGAATGACTTGTAAAATTTCTGTAGTTGTAATCACATTGAAATTTTTAAGAAGATTGAAATTTTTAAGAAGATTGGAGTGTTAGAAAGGGATTAATGAAGGTTATTAATAGGATTGTCACAAATCATTTTACTCTAGACTTATAGGCATCATGAATATATTTAAAGTCTGATATTAGGGTTTTCTATTAAAACTTGAATTTTGGGGGAGAGTTTAAAAATGAAATTTCATGTTAATATGTTGCTTTAAAACAACGAAAATAATACATTAATATATACTGGTAAAAATTCGATCAATTTCGTTAAATGTCCTTTTCAGACATATCCCTCATGAGTAGACTTAACTGTATGGTCTGTACTTTTTTGATGCCTTTCTAAATATATATACACACACATATAAACACATGGATACCATCATACTGTTTTATACCTTCAAAACTTTAAAATGAAGTAAAAATGTAAGGTTGAATGATGGATTTTCAAATTACTGTTGTAATTGAGGTTAAACAAAAGTTTAAACTCCACTACTTTGTTTTATAACAAATAATTACAGTTTTTATTTAGTTTGCTTTAGGAAACATGTTAAGTTTTAAGAAAAACTCATTCTTAAACCCCTTCTAATTAAAAAGTGGGAAACTCATTCTAAGCTAGCCTTATTTTCTCCTAACTGAATATGTTCCTTAGAGAAACTTAAATATCAGTCTCTTCATAGAAAAATATTACTGATTCATTTGCTTCAGTTTAGGTAGTTGTATCTGTTAGACATGGATTCAGCTGATTTAGCTATAGGTTCTCTTATTGGTATCTTATAACCAGTAGTGAACCTTTTTTCAAACCTGGAATCTGGATGGGTTTTTTTCTTCTTTATGAAGCCACTGGCTTGAATAGAGGTTATCATTAGTGTCTTCATTAGCATCATGGCATCCCCCTGAACCCAGACTAGGTCAGACAAGTCAAACAAAAAGTAGTAGAACTCCTCAGTTATTTTAGGCAGAGTTCCCAGTGCTTATAAGTGCTACATTTTCATTTTCTTGAAGGCTTTGGGTTACCAGCTGGAGAGTATTGACAGTTAAGTTTTCCAGTGAAATAGTGTTACTGGTAATAGAGCCTTTTTGTTAGTGCAGAGGTAGGGGAGGGTTGCTGCTGAAGGCACTCTCTACCTCCAAATCCTGGAAAACCTCAGCTGGGGAGAGCCTAGCAGTGGTATTCTACTACAGTGGCTTCCAGGTTCACGATTGACAGCCTTATGGGGTACCCCAATATATTGTTTCAATAAAGCGCACTTCCAGGAAGTCATTCATATATATATATATTTATTTTTTTAAAAATTTTTATTGGGGAATGGGAACAGACAAGTTGCTGTCCTTTTGTTCCTCACTCTAGTTGTGGAGGACGTTGCTTCACTGGCCCAAGTTGGCACTATCATTGCGCTCTTCCTGGGTGAGGCAGATTAGTCGCTGGCTTCTGGACGGCCGCTCACAGCGGCTGCTGGCCGCTCACAGTGGCTGCTGGCCGCTCACGGTAGCTTATGGCAACCCACTGCAGCAGGGGCTGCAGCCTATGCCGTCGCCGGCCACTCACGTCAGCCCAGCTCTAGGTTGAGCTGTTGTTCAGCATCTTAGCTGTGGAGGGCAGTGTCACTGGCCCTCATATGTGGGATCCGAACCGGGGCCCTCTGGCGTCCCAAGCCAGCTCTTAACCAATGCGCCACTAGGCCAGCCCTCATTATTATTATTATTATTATTTTTTAAGACACCCCTCCCTCCCCCCAATACGTATCCAGGGTTGAGAAACACTTGTCCGGAGGGATCACGAACATGGGTCAGGAATGCAGGCACTGATAGATTAGCATCTGTTACAAGAGCCTAGAACCTAGAGGCGAGAGGGATGGGATGGGTCAGATTAGGGAGGAAAATAATGACGTTCAAGGGTCCAACATTGAGGCTCTTGGTTGCAAAAAAAGCAAAGCAGTAGGCTTTTCAGGAGAGTTGATAGTTTGATTTTTGTTTTTAAAAAATTTTTTAACACCCATGTAACTTTCTGAGCCGTGTTGGGAATTAGTTATTTTCCAGTTTGTGTTTTTATATTGAATCACATTTTAAGCAGTATATTCAAAGTATATGTCTTAAAAAGTTGTAACATGTAAATATTCATGTAATTTGCATTCAGTGTAAATATTCATGCAATTTGCATTCAGTGATACATATTTTCTGAAAGTGTAAGTCTTTCTTGATTGGGATCATTGAACTTGTATGATTTGTTTCAGAGTCACAATGACATCCTTTCAAGAAGTCCCGCAGACTTCCAACTTTGCGCATGTCATCTTTCAAAATGTGGCCAAGAGTTATCTTCCTAATGCACACCTGGAGTGTCATTACACCTTAACTCCATATATCCATCCACATCCAAAAGATTGGGTTGGTATATTCAAGGTAAGAAAAACACTTGCGTCTTTCTTCCATCGGGTGCTCTTTGTTTTCTTTTAAGCAGGTTGGTCAGTAGTTTATACTAGTCTTGTCTTCGCTCTGTGTTAAGGGCCATTTTTGTAAATGTCAAATGTAAAACATTTGCATTTGTAAATGTCAACATTTTATAAACACAAAATATTTAACAGTTTAGGATAGTATACAAGAAATGCTGGGAACTTTAATCCAGGCTTTCCTCTCTATGAACAAAAGATTAACGTCATTTATTTAAGGTCTTATGAAAATTTTTTCAGAATCTTTTGTTTTTCCTTTTCCATTTTCTCCATTCTTTACCTGAAAAATGATCTTTTATTGTGGGTTACTACCTTTTCCAGTCATTTGTAATTTTGTACATGTCTACAGCCATGTTATTATCTCTTCTATTGTCCTGTATTATTTAAATATTGCTCATACGGGCTTACACTTTTATAAGAGTATTCTGTTTTATATGACTAAATAGTAAGTTCTTTGGGGCAGGAATCCCAATTCTTATATTTTGCCAATCATTTTGTATAATGTTTGCTTGAAAATTACACTGAGATTATAATATTACACTGGTGCTTCACTGTGCTGGAGGTTCTCTGGTAATTTTAATTCTTCAGGATGTAGTGGAGAACCAAAGCGTAAGAAAAGAAAATCAAAACAATTATTTTGAGCAGTCAAAATAATGCCATAAATGTCCAAACAATAAAAATTATTTTTCTCCTGGGTTACTCTAGATTCTCAGAATTAGTTTTAGATACGATTTTAATGGTCTTGAAATTTTGATAATCTGGGTTGTATAAGTTAAACAGCAAAGTAGAAAGAAATAAGAGTAGCTGTTAGAGTGAGGCACATTGAGAGTACTCAGAAGTGAAAATCCAGCCTAATAGAGTGAGGAGGGCTGAAAATTACTGGATGAAACAAAGTCTTGGCATTTAATGACATTTCAGTTCCTTTTTGAATCTCTCATTTCGTGATATTGTTGAATAGATGAGTTATTTACTGTTTACTTTTTGTGGTTCTTAGGCTTAAATTCCAAAATGGAGATAACATTCGTTGTAAGCAATTAGTAAAGTCAGTATCAGTTTTGATATTATATCAGGTATGAGTATCAAGTTTAAGATAACTGACCCAGAATTAGTGTTTTCTGCTAGAGTGGATCAGAGAGGAAGACTAGAGCAGGGAAATGAGATTGAGGGAGGGCATTCCTGGCAGGAAAATGTTATAAACAAAGGCACAGAGGTGAGATGTTCATGACAATGGGTCAGTGCAGAACATAAGCTTCTTTCAGGGAAGTGGAGGGAGATAGATTGGAATTAAGCTTTATTTTGTCTATGGAGGCCCTTCATTATGAGGCTAAACAGTTTGTAGGTTTTTTTCTTACTGGCAGTGGGAAGTCTTTGTAAATGTAGGTATATAGGCTGATGTGTGATAAATTGTCTCAAGAAGATGAATCTGCATTTTTCCTTCAAACTACTTGTTCTTTGTTTTTCATTTTTAGTTAATGGCCTAATTGCCTAAGCCAAAAACTTGTGACACTCCCTTTAAATCCAGCCAAATACCAATTCTGTCTGATTTACCGTCTGTGTATTTTTCATCTTTAATAACTGCCCTAGTTCATGCCTTATCTCTTTCCAAGACTATTGCAGTAAGTTACCTTTTTTCCCTGTGTTCATTCTTGCCCCTCCTTCCCCCCTATCTGTTCTTCAAACTGCTCTGTATATACTATAATGTAAAATGAAAATCTGAATATATCTTCCTCTTGTTTAAAACTCTTAATTGGTTCTTCATCTATAGAATAATGCCAAGACCAAGTAAATTAGTGTGCCATAAAGGACCCCTTTATATTATTTGATCTATAGCTTCATTTTTTATCATTGCTAGCTTTCTTTTTGCTTTGGTAATGCTAAACTATTATCTCTTAACTTGTGCACTCCAAGGACTATAAGTTTTTTCTAAGCAGTAAGTAAATACATAATAAATGAATAAAATTGTGTACAATACTCTTTCCATCTTTTGCCTGGATAATACTTTAAAACTCAGTAGGAAGTTCAAGCATGTATTAAAAATTTCAGAATATGCAGACAAATTCAAGGAAGAAAATAAAACACTTTAATACAATAACCTAGCAATAACCATTGTGAACATATTGGTATATAGCTATATATAATTAAGTAATTATACATATACATTGTGTATAATAAAGTACATATACTATTGATGCATTGTGGAATTTATTGGAAACATTTCTAAACGTTAAATAACCATTAAACAGTGCTTAATAAAGATCTCTGTATCTTTATTTTATTCATTTGTCCACTTATTTCATAGGGTAGGTTCCTGGAATGAAATTGTCATGTTTTTGGCATTACACTAACACTTCATGTGTACTGCAAATTGCCCTCAGAAAGATTTTGATATGATATTAACAGGTAGGCATTGAGAAAGTGCCCAGATAGTAACTGTAAGTGAGGAGGAATGAAAGTGTGTGGTATGCTTAAGAAAGTCTTAAGGAGTTTGATTTGCCTGGGATACCAGTTTCAGAAGATGAATGGGAAAGATTGGTTTGGGTCACGTTTTGTGAATTGTTTTAATGTTTGGCTGAGGAATAAATACTTTTTTATTTTAAGATTTTATTGGGGAATTGGGGGAGGGAACAGCATTGGGGAATCGGGGAAGGGGAACAGGCAAGTTGCTGTCCTTTGGTTCTTCAGTCTAGTTGTGGAGGACGTCGCTTCACTGGCCCATGTTGGTATTATTGTGCTCTTCCCGGGTGAGGTAGTTGCTCGCAGGCCATTGGACGGCCGCTCATGGCAGCTTATGAAAGCTCACGCCAGCTGCCGGCCAGCCCCACTGTGGCCTACGCCGTCGCCGGTGACTCATGGCAGCCCAGCTCCTGGTCAAGCTGTTGTTCACCATCTTAGCTGTAGAGGGCGCAGCGTCACTGGCCCCCATGTGGGATCCGAACCCCGGCCCTGCTGCTCAGAGCTGGCATCCCAAGCCAACTCTTAACCAGTGTGTCACTTGGCCGGCCCAGAAATAAATACTTTTAACCAGAGAGTAGTAATAGAGTTTAGAGGTGAATTTTAATCTTGTAGTGCTGAGTTGAAGTTGTAATTAAAGAATGGAGGCAGAGAGAATGTTGAGACCATTCTATTTTTCTAGGTGAGATAACAAAGGCCTAAAGTAGAGAAGAGAGTCAGTTGTAGGTAATAATCCAAAAATTGACTCCATAGCTTGTCAGCAGTTAGTTGAATGAATTGGGACTGGAACTAATTCATGGCTTGAATATATTCAGTAAGGAGGAGCAAGGTCGTGTACCAAGAGTTGGGAGGGCTTGAGTAAGGAGAAGATTTGGTCTTGCTGCTGTGGAAGAATGTCATAGGGAATTGGAGTAGGTTAATCAGGAGATTGCTGAGCTGCAGTTATTACTGTTCTCTAGAGAGGTTCAGCACCCAGAATTGTGAGCATAGAATTCCAAAGTGGGTATTTATCAGACTGGGAATTGAAGGTGGGTGGTGAATAGGAAGGGAAGTCAAAAGAACAAAGGACAGTAGGGTGGTTTTGGGGGCATTACTGATATGTTTAACTGACCATGAAGTCCAAGTTGGGTAGAGAAATAAAGTCAGATAAGGGATAGAGAGTGGGTTGGAGATTTAATTTTTTTGTTTGTTTTTACTCCCTCTCCTCCAGTATTGACTGGTTTTAATGAAAACTAAAATAAATATGTAACATATTCATTACTTTATACTTTGCAAAGATCTTTCATCAGAACATTATAGTCCCCATTTTACAGATGAGGGAACTGAGGTCCAGAGGGAAGAATTTACTCAAGGTTATCAAACTTTGGAGCTGAGATTTGAACCTATGTACATTGGCATTAAAGAATTATTCTCTGGTACTTTGGTTAAGTGAAAGATCTGGTTATCCAAAATTAGCAACAGAGTTCTTAAGTTCAGTGTGCATTTTAAGGAGTGACAGAATTGAAGTAAAAATACAGGAAAAGATTTAGAACTATACCTAATGCCATTTCTTTATTATTAAACCCAACATTAGTTGCAGTAAAATATTTCATGTCACACTGTCTTTGAGTTTTATTGTTGTTTGTGTTTATGATTTGATTTGGTCTCAGTTGTATAAGTTTATAATAATAAGCAATTTATTTACTTTTAGATTTATGCTAAGTGCAAATTAAATTACCTTATAATTAAAAATAATTTATATTAAACTAAAGGACCACAAGATGTTTTTTAAACTTTAAAGGGAGTCTTAAAATTCTCATATTTCAGAATACTGTAGTTGAGGAAATTGGGAGTTTAAAGTGATGTTGTTCTCACTGCATCATACTGTCTACCAGATTGAAAAACAAACAAACAAAAACTAACTTCCTGGTGTGGAAACGTGAACCTGAGCAATGATTTTTGTGCTTGAATATCTTCTTTTAAGCTTTTGTTTTTCTCTTCCTTGTATCTCCTTTTCATATTTCTCTTCCTTCTGCTGCTTCTATTTCCCTGCCTTCGTCTCCCAGTCCTGTCTCATTTTCTGAAAGAAAAAAAATATTCTCCTGTTGTAAAAGTAATTAAATTTTAGAAAACTTGGAAGAAAGCAGAAAATATACAAGGTAAAGTTAAGATGACCAGCAGTCCTATATATCCCTATCTAATAACAGTGGTTAGCACTGTTAATGTTTTGCGTTTTCCTTCCAATCTTTTATTAAAGGAAGATTTTCTTTTTTCTAATGCACACATTTTGAAGTAGTTGGAATAGTACTGCATACACTGTTTTTATATCCTGAATTTTTCTCTTACGGTTATAACCACTTATAGTATAAGTAGCTCTGTAACATTTTATCTCACGGTGGGACATTTATACTGTTGATGATATTTCTGTCTTGGAATCAGCATTGCATCCTCCCTGTCTATATCTAGGCATTTTGCTGTTTTGTTTTTTTCTTTTTTCTTTTCTTTAAAAGGGAGGACATTTACTCTTATATGATTTTTGAAAGCTACAGTATATACAAAAGAAAGCGAATGCCTCTACCCATTGTACTCCCCACCTTCCCCAGAAATATCTGTGGTTAAGTGTGATGTACGAGTATATTTTTCTAGATTTTAAAAATTCATAGGCTTGTTTTATACGACTTTGTAGGTTTTGTATTTGTTCATACATAACCAGCAAATTTATTTTCAGTGTCTTTCCTACTCCAAGTCTTGTGTCTGATTCCTTTTACTCCTCCCCTCAAGTCAGTGACCCCTGGATCTTGGCCTGTTTTTTACAAGTCCTGTTTGTGTGCTCTCTCCACCCTAATGTTTCTGTCTTTCTCTCTAGGTTTCTCTAGAATTTATTAATATACTTTTTACTAGGTAACCTTGATGTTCTTCTGATCTTCTTTATACTTCCTCCTGGAAGTTTTCTTTATGATCAGTACTTCTTATCCAATGTGATTTTATAAAATGTTAATCCTATTTAAAGGGTTTTTTTCTTTCCATGTCACCCCTGCTTAATTTCCTTTTTTTGCTCTTAGTTTGCTATTGCATTAGTAACAGAAGAACGATGCCAGACTATTGTAATTCCCCAAACTAAACTGTGAAATATCCATTGCTTTGGTTCTTTCCTTAATATATTGGGGGTGCCAAAAGGGAGTGCCAAAAAAATGTATATACATGACTTGTATTCATCTTTTGTTATCGGTATATTTAGAATATTACAATTATAATAGTTTTTTCTTTGCTTAAAATGTGTATACATTTTTTGGCACCCTCTGTAGATACATCTTATAACTGGATTCAAGTGTAGCTCCTAGAAGCAATATATTTTGAGACATAGGTAACTTGAACTTTCTGTTTCATTGTTTTAAGTGTTGTATTCCTCCTGCCATTTTTCAGTGTTTTAAAATAGCTGTTATTCTAAATGTAATAATTTTCTTTACACTTGATGCTAATGGACTAAAAGGCAAATTCCCTTGCATTTCAAGAACTCTAATTCCCTTGCAGTCTAGAAGTCTTAATTCAAGTTCTAGCCAGGTGACCAGGAAAATAAAACAAAGAGAAACAACCTGTGACTTGGACATTTGGTGGTTTATTGAGTCTTCTGATGAGGTTTATTTTGCCACGTGCTCTTACATAATTTCCAGATGTCCATCTTCTGGAATTTTTTTCGCTGTGGTTCATTCTATACTTTTATGTTGGAGTTTGGATATAAGACATACCCATCCTAAAGGAGGTTGTACTCTGTATCTTTCCAGATTGAGAAACTTTTACATTTATTTTTTAATATATGCCTGACATGGTAGCTCCCAGAGTTACCAAGCACGATGTTCAGTTTTCCTTCCTCAAAAGGAGTTTGAGGCATAGTTCTTACATTCCTGAATTTTGTACTCAGATTAGGTTGCGTCCTGCCCCACCTCCTCTGTGGGCTCAGCATGGGATACATGTGATATCTCATAGCATGGCTGATTTCTCTCTTGAGAAGAGTTGTTCAGACTTATGCAATAAAAGGAAGTAAAGTATGTATAAATTACCATTATAGTCAACCAATATCTTGAGCTGTTGTGATTCAGTTAGAGAAAACATAGCAAGGACTAAACCACTCAGCATATCTCTAATCCATATTTTTTTTCTCCCATTTTGTTTCTGTTCTCATGAAAGACAGAAACAACTTTCCTCTTTATCTTACTGTTTGTCTTCTGTCACCTGTACATCTTTTAAGAATTATATAGTCATAGTCTCAATGTTGGAAGGAAGGAGGTGGAATTTCAGAAAGTATAAGAGTATTTTATATCTGGCTAGGAGAAGAAATGAGTAGTGTCTTCGTGGTTTAGAGCTTAAACTTTAGGTTCAGATCTTGACTCTGTCATTTGTGGCCTTTTCCTCGTTTCTTAATTTGTAACAGGATAATATTTACTCCCAAACAAATATTCAGTAAACTGTATTTATTACTGCTGTTCCCAGCGTCACTTGAATCAGAAAATTATAATTGTGATGTCAGCCATCACGAATAAATGGCATACTCAGCTCTTCTCTTGTCCACCTGGACCAGGGCAGACCCTGTTCATATAGGGAGGTTTTTTTTCAACAAAGATGTGGCTGTAGATAGTATTTTTTTCAATATCAGTGAAAAATATCCAAGGACAAGGAATGCAAGGTATGACTTGTACCAGGTATATCTGTTGGGGGAAAACCTTGAAATGGACTCTTTTTCAGGAGCTTGTAGAAGCATTGGGGGATATGAAATGAAGGACAGAACGTTTAGAGTCATGATCACTGGCCCTAAAAGTCCGTGTGTCTGTGGGTATTAATGAATGGTGACATTTAATGAACACTAGTGTGCTAGGCACTGTGCTAAGTGTTTTACAGGGATTATCTCATTTAATACACACAACCCCTTTGAGATTGTTACCATTATCTACATTATAAAGAGGAGGGAACAGACATAACTTGTCTGAAGTCATAGCTAGGAAGAGCTCTTTTCTGGCAGTCTGACCTTATTTCCTTAATTACATGCTCTTAATCACTACAGGATACTGTGCTTACCACTACAGAGTGCTTACTATGGGTCAGGCACGCGAGGTGTTGCTTTTATATTCATTGTCTAACCCTTCTAACAATTCAGAGAGGAAAAAAAATGAGCCTTAGGTGAGGTAAATCACTTACATCACAGGTTTCTGAAGCTCCTCATCTGTAAAGAGATGAATGAATACTACATGATAGAGAAAGAAATGAATTCTGTAGTTTGACCCAGCATAGCTGCACACACATACACCTGATACAGATTTTAATGGAACAATACTTAGCTTTTATGTACTCTGATACTCTCTAATTCTATATAATTAAAAAATAAATTGGGTGGCCGGTTAGCGCATGTGGTTTAGTGCAGGCTTGTAACACCAAGGTTGCTGGTTCGATTCCCACATGGGCCAAGGAGCTGCACCCTCCACAACTAGATTGAAGACAACTACTTGACTTGGAGCTGATGGGTCCTGGAAAAACACAGTGTTTCCCAATAAAATTTCTAAAAAATAAAATAAATTAAATAAATAAATAAATGTCATGAACCACTAAATTGATATTACCACTTCTTACTGGGTTGTGACCTACAGTTTGCAAACACTCCTTTAGAGACTAACGATTGCTAAGATTCTTTGAACGTCCGTATTCTATAATCTCTAATTCTAGGTCAATCAGAATTATAGAAAATATGTATAATCTAACTGGATTATTCATAATTTCTTGTAGTATTACTGGCACGTGGATATCTAGTATCTGTTTTCAATTATATCTAATCAGTATTTAACACAGTACAGTTCATCTGGAAAAGACAGACCGAGACATGTAATGTATATATTCATGTTGTAAGTCGAAAAATGTTTTAGAGCTCGTTGGGACATAGGTGGTCTGTTTATATATAAACATCTTGGTAATAAAGACCTTTTTACAAAATTTACCAATTGGCTGCAGGCAAGACTTGCTAAAGATGAGAGATTAGTGAAGTTAATGGATTTAAGGGGGAGGGGGAAATCTAATTTAAAAAACACACTTAAATTTGAGGCATAAAATAAGTTTTAAAAACATGTTTAGTGAATTTAAGTTTTAAGCAAAACATACGTTTTACATTTGATACTAAGATTTTCCTTGAGAAATTGGATCTCAAATTGCATTTTAATACGTATAGTAGAAACTGTTTAATTTATATAGATTTTTATAGCAGTTGGTTATAGCTTAATCATAAAATTTGACATGCTTATTAAAATACTATGATTTGAAAAACATTAACGCATGCTGTAACTTGAGGATGCAGTAAAAAAACAATATGCTATAAGATATCACTCTAACATTAACCTACTTACTAATAATCTCCATATTTTTGTTATTTTTCCTTTAGGTTGGATGGAGTACTGCTCGTGATTATTACACATTTTTATGGTCTCCTATGCCTGAACATTATGTAGAAGGATCAACAGTCAATTGTGTATTAGCATTTCAAGGTATGAATTGAAAACTGCAGAACTGGATGAAATTCGATATTTTATTGCTACTAAAATGTTGTATCCCATTGTAATTATCTTCTTAGGCATATCCAGCATACCACAGTTGAATTAATTAACATCTTTGTTTAGCAAAAGTCATAAGACTAAATGTATAGGCCACATGATATTTTATGTAGACATTTGCAAAGTTTTTTTTGCTTATCTTAATTTTCGTTGAAGAGAGTTGGTTTCTTTTCAGGCCTTTTGATTTTTTTTTAAATGAAAAAACAATGCTATTACTGATGCTAGAATAACATAATAAATTAGAGGTGAGAAAAATATTTTCTGTATGAAGACCACAAGATGATTAACAGCATTTAGAGCAGTTATGTTTTATAGGGAAAGTTGCCTATAAAATGATATGAGTAATGTAAAATTTCATTCTTGTCAGCTTGGCATGATATACAGATTTTAAAAAATACTCTTCTTAGAAATCTATCACAGAATTTAAAGTGATTTTGTATTATAATTGTACTGACTTGGGTTGTATTAAAGGGAATTCTTAGTTTTGTTTAAGCAATGTATTTTTTCCTTTTGGTCTGGTGAAGCTAACGGACTCTCTCAGTATAATATTTTAATACACATAAAATGGATAGAATTGCAAAGGAAACCAGTAATATTCCATTGTATGGATGTAGCAGTTTGTTCATCCATTCGTCTATTAAAGGACATCGTGGTTGCTTCCAGGTATTGGCAGTTGTGAATAAAAGCTGCTGTAAGCATTCATGTACAAGTTTTTGTGTGGATGTAAGTTTTCAATTATTGGGTAAATACTAAGGAATGAGATTGCTGGATTATATGGTAAGAGTATGTTTAGTTTTGTAAGAAACGACCAAATTGTTTACCAAAGTGGCTGTACCATTTGCATTCCCACCAGGAATGAATGAGAGTTCTTTTTTTATATCTTTGCCAGCGTTTTGTGTTGTCAGTGTTTTGTATTTTGATAGTTTACATTTTTAAAATAAACTTTTTATTCTAAGGTTTGTATTGTGTATGTTGGTGTGAACATCAATTGGCAAGGTGACCACATGGAGCTTTCATATATGAAAACATTTTCTTACGTACTGTGTCAAGAAACAAGTATTCAGAGGATAAAATTTGTACTGTAAAATTTGTACTGTAATTTAGGCAAAGATTTAGGTTCTTATATGTTTATGGATTAAGAAATGTCACGTGTAGTTTACTTTCAATTCATAGCCTTTTTAAACGATAGTCAAATTCAAGTGTGTATATTAGAACTGATTTTAGTATTATGATAATTTGTTCATAAAAGTTGTGAGTTTATTTCCAGGCATTTTTAATGTGATTAGTCTTACAAATAAGTTAACTAACTGAATTTGTTACAATGACTAATGAATTTGCTTACTAGTGATGTAGCAAAAAGTTTAAAAGCAGTGGGGAAAAAAAGTTTAAATCCAGTTTATTTCTGTTTATTCTTTAAAAGCATTTTCATGGGAGCTAAGCATAAGTGCAGTAAGTTTTACAAGTTTTAAAAAACTCATGTTAATGTTTACTTTGAAATTCAGAAATAAAAGCTTCTGCCTGCCTAGAACTTGTTATAGAAAGAAGTCAGAACGTAGCCATAGAATATTAGAGCTAGAAGGGATTTTTTTTAAATTTAATTTTTATTTTTTTATTAGTTTCAGGTGTACAAAACAATGCAATAGTTATCCTTTTTATCCCTCACAAAGTGACAACTCTCCTCCCCCAATCCACCGCCCCCCACATATCATACATATCTATTACAATTCCATTGACTCCACTCCCCACACTATATTCCACATCCCATGACTATATGTATATATTAAATTATAGTTGACATACAATATTATTCAACGGCAGCTTCAGGCATACAGTGCAGTGGTCAGGCCTCTACACCGTCCATGAAGTGGTCTCCCTAACAAGACATGAGAGCATCTGGCCCCCTAAAAAATATTTACAACATTATTGATTCTATTCCCCAAACTGTCTCATATTCCTGTGGCAATATTGTAGTTACCAATTTATGATGCTGTCAATCCCTTCCCCTTCTTCCTCATCTCCATCCCCTTCCCAACTAGCAACCATCAGTTTTTCTTGAAAGGATTTTTAAGTACACTCCAAAGCACTTTCCTCATTTTGTGGATGAGTCGTGAGAATCCTGAAATGCGAAACTCAAAAAACAGTTAACAAAAATACATAAATGTATTTTGTTTTCCCAAAGAGACCCTCATGTGTTTGACGGATTGCTAATGTCACATGTGACAAAATTTGACTGTTTACTTTTTCCTGTTTTATTTTCAATGTTATTAATCTGACAAGAGCTTTTTCTAGATAGCTTTATATTGCAACTCTGAATAACTACATCTTGTATCTCAAATGATATTTGGACCATACTTTTTAGTAGTATTTTTCTGAGATTAAAAAAAAATGGGAGAGAGAGGTTGTCACTTTGAGGGGTAAAATGTATAACTATTGCATTGTGTTGTACATCTGAAACTAATTAAAAAAAAAACCTTGAATATCTACTTTGTAGAATTTCTAATGTCATGATACCAAAGCTGATTAGTCAGACTGTGTTTTTGTTTTCTATTTAAACTTTTTAAATAAGTCCAGTGGCCATTTGCAAAGTGACTGAGCCATGGATTAATAGATTTAGTAGTAGATATTAAGAGGGTAGGGTTTTTAAAAACTTAAAAAAAACATATTGCTAGATACATGTCTATATTACTTTTTAAAAAACAATTTTAGATGTAAAGCTGCAAAAATAGTATCCAGAATTTCCCTACTCTCTTCACTCAGCGTCCTTTAACATCTTGTGTAACCATAGCACATTTATTTTCAAAACCAGGAATTTATCATTGGTAGAATACTGTTGACTAAAGTACAAACCTTATTCAAATTTCACTGATGGTTCCTAGCAGTGTTCTTTTTCTGTTTCTGGATTCAATCCAAAACCCCAGGTTACATTTGTTGGCATATTTTGTTAGCTTCCACCTCTGTGACAGTTCCTCATTCTGTCCTTGTCTTTCATGACCTTTGCATTCAACGGTTTTTGTTTTTGTTTTTTTATGGTATCATGTTTCTCATTTTGGGTTTGTCTGATGCTTTCTCAGGATTAGCTCGAGGTATACATTTTCAGGAAGAATACCATAGAAGTCATGCTGCACCCTTTTCAGTGCATTCTATCAGGGAGTACCTGATGACAATATATCTTATTACTGGTGATACTAATCTTGATCACTTGGTAAAGGTGGTGTCTGCTGGGTTTCCAACTGTAGAGATAGTATTTTTCCCTTTGTAATTAATAAGTATTATGGGGGAGCTACTTTGAGACTAAGGAAATATCTTGTTTCTCAAAATTTTACCCACTAATTTTAGTATCCATCATGGATCTTGTCTAAAACACTTGTTGTGTTTGCCTAATGATGCTTTTCTATTCTCATTCTTGTTTAGTTGGAATTATGTTAGGAAAAAAAGCCCCTTTTTCCATGGACTCCTAGATATTTATTTTCCATGGAATTAGGTTTACTGCTATCATATTTTTGTTGCTCAAATTGTTTTAGCTTTCTTTGGCCATAGGGAACGCCATCAGGCGGGCTCCTGTGTTTTTGACTTGCCCTCCTCCGCCAATTCTTTAAGGACTTCTTTCTTTCTTACAAGCACCAGAAGATGTTCTAGGCTTATCTTGTATTGTCTTTTCCCCTCCCTCCTGTTTCTAAGGAGAAAGGCCAGCTATTTTTTAGAGAATGAAGTCAAGTGAAGTAGGTAACTATCTTTAAAATGAGGTTGAAAATTTTAAGATATGAAAGAAGAATAACAGGCATATTGATTATAGATTTCTGAATAGATATTAATAGCCTAGGTAAGGTGACTGTATTCATCTTTGTTCATTTCATAATTGTTGAATACTTTCTTTTTACAAGTCATTCTGGGAGATTACAGAATTTTTATATATATTATGTATCTACCCTCAATATCTCTTGAGGCCTTGATATAGAATATAAAGCATGCATCTAATGAATAATAGTGCAAGGTATACTGTGGAGTTGTTTTGTTTTTTGTTTCAGCTGAGCCATCCTGCCACCTGTTGGCAGCTCAGCGGGGCCGGGACTCGAACCACTGTTGCTCAGAGCTTGCACTCTTGAGCGAGCTCTTAACCAACTGAGCCACTCGGCTGCCCCCCCCCCTTTTTTAAAATGTCATGAGAACTTTGGAGAGGATAATCCAGCAAAATTTTAAAAAGAGGGTAACAATTGAGTTGAAGAAAGGAGGAACAAATATTGAACATAAATTATTTGTCAGATCGTGGGCTAGATGATATAAATATTATCTGTAGATACTTTGGAAATCTGAGATAGATGGCTTCATGTCTATTTTACAGATAAGTAATGGGCTCAGGGAGATTAAGTAAATAATAGTGGTAGAGGTGGAATTCCAGAATAAATCTGTGTTCCAAAAGTTGCAAAGTTTATTTTTGTTTGATAGCACCAGTGGACCTCATCCCCTTTTCTGCCTTAAAACAATTCATATGTGGAGCACTTTCCTTTTGTTAATATCTCCTTTTTACGTGTAATGAACGTCAAAATTGAGGGAAGATTTCTTTAAATGACAATTTCACCCCCAGTCTTCCTAGATTTTGATGGTGGTTTTCCCCTTCCTCCAGCCTTGTTCTCATTGAAACCTATACACCTGACTCTCCCAGATGAGTCAGTTTTGCTGTTGTGAATATTTGGGAAACGATATTCTGGGAGTCGAAGCTTAGACCTAAGATGAGAAAAATTTGAGCACGTTAAGGAAAAGGAAGGAGAGTCTAGTTTCGAAAATTTGTGAAAGATAAGAGGAAGGACATACCCTAAATGCCTAGAAGAGGGTCAGGAATGAGAGGAGATGGCAAGTGTTGTTAAATTAAATAGAAATAACATTAATTTTATAATAGAAAGTTTAATGATTTTTTTGTTTGTTTGTTAACTTTCTCTTAGGATATTACCTTCCAAATGATGATGGAGAATTTTATCAGTTCTGCTATGTTACCCATAAGGGTGAAATTCGTGGAGCAAGTACGCCTTTCCAGTTTCGAGCTTCTTCTCCAGTTGAGGAGCTGCTTACTATGGAAGATGAAGGAAATTCTGATATGTTGGTGGTGACCACAAAAGCTGGCCTTCTTGAGGTGGGTACCAGCAGTGAGCTAGTGATTCACAGATAATTCTAAGAACAGCATGTAGGAACATGTGCTGGTTGGCATTGTAAAACTTTTCAGGTGATGCACGAGTATAGCCTAAAAATCAAATGCTTTTTAACTAAAACTATAAACTTAGCACGTTATTCTGGAAATACTTAAAAATCTTTCTCTCACAATTACGTTATTGATTTCACTGTGGCAGGTACTGTCCGTGGGTCTGTCAGTATTTTGTGCATGGTAGATGTATAGTAAATATTAGGCTGTTGGAAAAGTCATGACGTATTTTTCAATGTTTTTTTGTTGCAAAAATGCGTCATGACTTTTTCGACAACCCAGTAACTATTGAGAGAATTTAGATCTAAAGCTTTCATAATAATCCCTTGCTCTAACCTTTCTTCTTTGGTGGCCTAATCCAGTGATTGCAGAATAAATTTGGGGGGTGAAGCTGGAGGGAAAGTGGTTTAAAGCAGTAAATCTGACTGTGATTGGATGTGAACTTCATTTCACTGAACCACGCCTGAGCGTGCTCTTATCTCAAGTGTGGTAGTGAATCAGGGAAGCATCCCAGTCTCTAAGCTTGGTTTGAATGATTTCTTTTCCTTGTTCATCTGATCAGATGAATAAGCTTATATTAATGATAATTGAAAAAGGAAAGGTGAAAAACTTCTTACTGTTACTTTAATTGAATATTTTGGAGTCACTGCATTGGCTCCAATAGAGATTTACTGTGTAGATGGCCTAGTAATGCCTTATGTCTTAATTTTTAGTAGTTATTGAAGAAGAAAATAGAACATTCTTATTTCAAGATATTTCTCAATATCTTGACCCTAAACCTAAAACACTAGATTGTTACATTTAAGTTTCTATGAAAAACAGCTTTTTTAATTGGTTCGGCATACATTTTTAGTTAATTTATATTCATATTTAGTCTATGCTAGGCCATTGCTTTATAGTCAGATGGATGTTTTTTATATATAAATATTTTATGCCCTTTATTTACCTTCAAAAACTGAGACTAGAGAAAGACGAGGTTATAGATAAAATAATAAGATAGTCGAACTAAGAAGACTAGAAGGAACCAATCATTTTTTTACGTTGAATTCTTCCATATCTCCCCTTCTGCCTTACAAAAATTCTTATCTTAAATAAAAAAATGTAACTTTTATAGGGTAACTAAAACATTTTGTGGTGACAACCACCCGATGATCAAGGTTTTTAGCCTGGTATTTGAATGCTAGTCAGAGATGCTGACACAAGCCCAGCTCTTAAGAATGCAGTGAGTTTATAGTGCAGCTGTTTCAATGCTTGTTAGACCATCCTGTATCAGGGCTGCCACAGAAAAACAGGTGTTATGGCATCTACATCTCTCGTGTGTTCCTTTTCTAAGTAAATTGGGATATCTCACAATTTATTTCACTTCATTCTACTCAGAAAAGGTACTTTAAAAGAAAATTTAAATTGCCGTCTTTCTAGGGAATATTTTTGAGATAAAATATTTTTACATTCTGACTGGTTTTTCAAAGTGTTTTAAATTTCCACATTCATCAAAATCTTTAATGATTTTATCTAAAATGGCACAAAATTAGTACACGTGAGACATTATCGGGTACTGTTGACATTAAAAGTGATTAATGAAACATCCTTCAATGTGTGAATCTTGACTGGATCCTAGATTTTTAAAAAAATTGATATTTTGGGGAAATTGGGGGATATTTAACTATGGATGATCCGTTGGATATTACAAAATTATTAATTTTAGCTATTATGGTGATGGTTGAATAGGAAGCTGTCTTTATTAGGAGATACTTGCCCTGAGTACTTAGGGGTGAAGTGTCTGCAATTTTGTTTCAAACTGCTTTAGCCCACCTTCCCCAAATTACATAAATAAATGTAAGTACTTTATAAAAAAGGGAGATAAAATGAACAAAATATTAATTAGGTGATGGGTGTATGGGTGTTTATTATAAAATTTTAACTTGTGTGCTTGAAAGATTTTAAAGTACAAAATTGGGGAGCACAAATTAGACTTGTACATATTTTTATCTAATTTGCATTCCTTTTAAAAATCTACTTAAGATTCAGTAAACTCATTAGAAAGTATATGCCAGTTAAGTGAATCACTGGGAGAAAGCAGTTCTTTTATAACTTTTTTTTGCATTATGTCAAGATGTATTTTTATTTTTAAGCTGCCAGAAAGTTTAGAGCCAAAAATATTTTTTAAAAAATAAGTAAGGTACAAAAGAAGTTCAGTGAATAAACTTTTTTGAGGTCATATATTCTTGTCATTTTCATTTGGTGTGATAAATGAGGTAGAAGGATCATTCTAAAAATTTTTAATCCTTCAACTTTCATAAAAGTCATATTAGAGTTTAACCAGTTTAATTCCACGATCCTGGAAAACTTACTTGGGGCATACTCAGGGAAACATTTTGTTTTAGCTAAATGTAAGATGTCTTCTTTGTAAAGTCTTTCCTGAGTGTACATTCTTCCCCTATTAGAATCAGTTATTTCCTTCTGTAAGAGAAGTATTAACTGTCTTATTTACTGCTATTTTAGGTCCCTTAATTTAGTAATTTTTTTATAATATTGGAGTTTAGATTTTTCCTATACTATTAGTGTTCTCATAAGAATCAGTTATATTAATATATTGTTACAGTCTGCATTTTTGTCCTAAAATTTGCATTTACCTATAAAGTTTGTTTTATTTCAGCCAAATAGAGGCCATTATGTATAGACATTTATTCCTTAATATCTTATTTAAAGAACCAAAACTTGTAATCCCATAGATGGTCTTATATAACACACAAGGAAGTTCTTTAATAGATTCAACCATTTTCCATAAATTTGCATTCAAGAAGAGGTACACATTTTCTTGATTATTGCTCATGATAAAAAAGCCCAGAATTGGGCCAGCTGAGTGGCACGTTGGTTAAGAGCTGGCTTGGGACACCAGAGGGCCTCGGTTCGGATCCCACATATGATGGCCAGTGACACTGCCCTCTACAGCTAAGATGCTGAACAACAGCTCAACCTGGAGCTGGACTGCCCTGCCTGAGTCACCGACGATGATGGCGTAGGCTGCAGCCCCTGCTGCAGTGGGTTGCCATGGGCTACCATGTGTGGCCAGCAGCCAGCGTGAGTGGCCAGCAGCCGCGGTGAGGGGCCGTCCAGAAGCCGGCGACTGATCTGCCTCGCCCAGGAAGAGCGCAATGATGGTGACAACTTGGGCCAGTGAAGCAACGTCCTCCACAGCTAGACTGAAGAACAAAAGGACAGCAACTTGTCTGTTCCCCTTCCCCAATTCCCCAGGGCTGTTCCCATCTCCCAATTTCCCAATAAAAATCTTAAAAAAAAACAAAACCACCAAAAACACAGAATTAAGCCATATAGAACTTTATATCTTAATTTTTGGTACTGATTTGAAGAGTGATTAGCAGGCAACCTCATAATAAAATTCATTAATTACATACTCCCCCCCTTTTTTAAAAAAATTCATTTTCAAATTACAGTTGGCATTGAGTATTAGTTTCAGGTGTACAGCATAGTGGTTTTTGCGTTTCTTGAAGTTCCTTTAACATTTCTTGTAATACTAGTTTGGTGGTGATTTTTAGCTTTTTTTGGTGGTGACTTTAGCTTTTTCTTGTCTGGGAATTTTGTACTTTCTTCTTCGCTCAACCAACCAAAGGTTTAAATTTATGATTTATTATTTTTTCTTACTGAATGCTACAAGAGGCTCATTAATATGAAGTAGATAGTATGTAAAAGTTTTTCAGTGAATTTCTTTACTATTTTCTTTGAAATGGGAAACTGAACTTGTAACGTTTCAGGATTGTAAAAAAACAATTTGAGTTTTTTGTTTTACAGTTGAAAATTGAGAAAACGATGAAAGAGAAAGAAGAATTGTTAAAGTTAATTGCAGTTCTGGAAAAAGAAACAACACAACTTCGAGAACAAGTTGAAAGAATGGAAAGAGAACTTAACCATGAAAAAGAAAGATGTGACCAACTGCAAGCAGAGAAAATGGTTAGTTGTGTCTTATATAATTGATTGAAGTTGATATAGTATATTGCCTGAAACCCAATTAGAGTTATTGAAACTGTGTGTTTAGAAAAATAGCATTTTGATAGGAATTGACCTGTTCTTGTATAAATATCTATCAGCCTTCTGCCACAACTTCTTTTATGTTGTAAATGATTACAATTTTGGGTATTTGTTACCAGGCTTGATGATGTAGTCCCTAACAAGTGTTTCTAGATTCTGTGCATCTAATTGTACAATATTTGATTGATTTTGAGGGGAGAGGTTGGAAATACAGTTAGGAATGATAAACTGAATAAAGGGAAAGTGGCATCAAGTCATTAAGTTACTTTTCATAAAAGCAGAGTTCAGTGAAATAAGATGTAGTATTAGACAAAATTTTGAAATCCTTGATGTGAGAAATTCTATAAATTGTCCTAAAAACCTAATTAATATTGGCATAAGTTCTTGAGCTATGAAAAAGAAAAGTATAAAACAGTGTGATTTCAGTAGACTTACAAATGGATATAAGTTAGTAGCCGAAAACAAGGGAGAAAAAACCAACAATCACCTAGTCATAGATGTTTTTTTAATATTTTCACAAGAAAAGTAATTTAGCTCTGACAAATTTATACAGGTTATGATTATATATATTACGGTCTCCATTAGGTTATAATTAGTTGTATCTACCATGTCTGTTGACAGGATGGACCTTTTGTTTCCTAAGGATGGAATCTGTTCCATTATTCTTTTGTTCAACAAGGCCTAGAGCAGTTGCTTAATAATTTTCACTTGAATCCTTAATGCAGTGATTCTCAACCATTTTTATAATACAGTGGAGTGGTTGTATATTGCACATCTGTTCAGAGATGATATCAAATAGGGCTTAAATTCTGAAAAGATTTCTCTTGCCTTGTTCTATTTGAGGATTAATTACTCTTTTGAGTTAGAGGTAAACAATATGTGCAGTTGTAAATTACGTATAAACACCTGTAAAGTCTTCTGTCTTTTTACCATTAGCCTTTTTCATTTAAAATATACAGCTATTCTCCCAATTTTACTCTTGGGGAACACTTGAAATCCTGCAGAAGTACCCTGTAGTAGGAGCAGGATAATCTATTCGGTTAAGGAACCACTTTATTTATTTTGAACTTTTTAAGCATGTATACAAATGTTAAAAATAACAAAATCTCATCCTGTGTGCCTGCCTTGACTATTGGGACGTTCAGCTAAATTTTTTGTTGAATTGTTATAACTCCCTTGTTATCTTGTATAGTTATTACTCTTTTCTCTCTATTTTTTACCCATTTCTCTAATTATTTGAACCTGAATTTGGCAGTTTTCCAAAGAGGAATGCCATGTTTTTTTCTCTCACTGTATCACAAGCCAGAGGGGTGGAGGTGAGATAGAAGACGACTCATGAAAATAGTCCATTTCAGCATGTACTTAGCCCATGAGATGAAGAACTCCCTGAAATGTGGCCTTTAATGTTTTGACTGTGGTCACCTTGAAATCCAAGGCAAGACTGGATGATTGGAAGAATAGGAATGACAGAATGATAGGCTTTCAGTTGAGTGAAATTAGTCATGAACATCAGTCATGAACATTCCGGTTCAGTGTAATATTAGCTGAATTTTAAAGTTTCAGGTTCTCTCTACTGTCCAGGTTTAAAGGGGTTAAGCATTGTAGACTATACTAAGCTTGTTCTGACAGACATAGGTTGAGAAAATGGTTGATTGAAGTCAAGAGATTAATGAAGTAGAATTGATAGGTGATTGTGGGCATGGTATCCAGAAGAGATTTTCAGAAGTTTTTTATGGCAACTCATAAATCTTGATGACAGTCACTAGTCGAAGAGATTTCTTCCCTGCTTCTATTCTTGCTTTGGGGTATTTCTCTATGAATATGGAGGACTCGGAAGTGGTATTTTAACACTTTATACTAGAGAAAATGGTGATAAAAGGACCTAGAATGTTGTTATGTATTAATAGATTTTCACTAAATGTAAATGGCTGTTGTTTTACTGTTTTTCATAATGAACCAGAGAGTGAGTCATCAAAGACTAACAAAAATATGAATAATGTCATACAGGAGGAATGGAAATGTGTAGAATTTTCCCAGATTCTGAAAGTAATACTTGATAATGAAAAAAAAAAAACACAACCTTGTTATATGTTGCAATTGCTTATTTTTGGGAATAAAATAACGTTCTTGCCAGGAAAGACCGTTCCTCTTTGTTATTAGTTATGGGGCTTCTAGTTTTTTATGAATTTGCTTTTTACTTTGAAAGTTTCCATCGTAATCAGGCAGCCTGCTGGGCAGCTAGAACAACTCAGGAACTTGCAAACTTGTTTCAGTTGGGTGACTTATAAACTCCATGACATTTCTTGGCACTTGTTTTAAATCTGTTACATGATGTGAATTCTAAAAAAAAAATCTTAACATAATATTAAAAGTCTTCCTCTTTTTGAGGTACTAATGAATATATAAATTGCTGAACATCTGGAGAACTATTATGTATCACCTACAATTTCATTTAAAGTTTTATAATGGACAATATACTAGGAATGATAGGTAAAAACTTCAGTTTCTTCGTAACAGAAGAAATTTATTGGATTTTCAATTTTTTTTGTAAAATAATATTAGCTTATTACCCATTCAGTACTTGACAAATACTAAGACAAATATTTATAATAATTAAATGTTTATAAATAAATCTTTTTTATAAACATTGACTTTTCTCGTTGTAAAATGCCATTAGAGAGAACACTCTTATTTTGTAAATTAAAAGAATTAGATATGTTAAAGTTATTAAAACAGATTGGTTTAAGTGATACATTTAATTATATTCAAAGATTTTGTGTAATTGGCTGCTTGAAGGAATAAAGTAGGATTACAAAGTTCATTAAAACTGAAACCAAATGTTTGTAAATTGGGAACTATAAATTACATACTGTATTTCCCCTAGGTTATTTTAATGTGATGATGTATGTCTCATTCATGTACACCTAGATTTAAAAAGTAACTATTTTCATTATTAAGGATAATTTTTACATTCATTTCTAGTTCAGCTTTAAATAAGTATGGAGTTTTCTCTCCTGTAAAGGCTGATTAATAAAAATAACTCATAATACCTAATGTAAGTCAGGTTCTGTTTTGTGAGTTTTTACATGTTAACTCACATAATCCTCTGAAGTAGGTAGGTACTGTTATCTGCATTTTGCAGAGGTAATACTGAGAGGTTACCTAACCTGCTACCAGTACGATTGAACAGTTTGTGGGTGGTAGGGCTGGCTGTCTGGTTCCAGCCAGTGTTCTTAATGACACTCTATACTATACCATGCTCTTAATGACACAGTGTACTTCTACCTCTGAGGGCTGAAGATGTGACCTTCTCTAATTGATCTTTTTAAAAACAGCTGTATTGAGATGTAATTTATACACTATAAAGCTCACCACTTTATACAATTCAGTGGTTATTATATTTACAGAATTGTGAACCCATAAACCTAATATTAGAACATTTTCATTACCCCAAAAAGCAACCTTGTACCTATTTGTGGTCACTCTCCATTTTCCTCCTCCCCAGTTGTAGGCAGTCACTAATCTAAATTTCTGAGTCTGGATTTGTGTCTTTTGGACATTGCATACAAATGGAATCATATGTGGCCTTTTGTGACTGACTTCTTTCACTTAGCATAATGTTTTCAGATTTCATCCATGTTGTAGTATGTATCATTCCTTTTATTGTCAAATAATATCCCATTATTTTGATTAGTTTTTTTACCCCAACTTTGCATTTATTAGACTTATGTAAAAATTGGCAGTTTGTTTTTGTTTTGGAGTGCTAGATATATACTTGAAAATTAGAAGATTGAAAGCTGAGCCACAGGGAACCAGTGAGATTGAATCTTGTTTTTCAAGTAGGACTAAAACAGTCTGTGACCCTGTTTTTTTTAAAAAAAATTTTAATTTTTATGTTTATTTGAGCCAAATTGATGACATGCCAGGGAGCAAGATCTCAAATGCCTACTTGTTACGTTTTTTAGTTAGTTTAGTTTATGTTTTGGAGCCTAAACTAGGATTTGAGTTTTTCCATAAAATATATTCTTAACTTGAATGTTGATATAAGATGTACTTCAAGGTATTTTTAAACCAAATCCTTTTTGCAGATACTAAACAGTATTGCTTATACAGTATAAAAAGCATGATATGACTGTTGTATATGTTCATATTGTTTTGGTTCTTAAGTTTCATAAACTAAGTTGGGTACCTTGAGACATTACCAGCATTTGAGAGTTATCACAGGTATAGGATATGTAGCAGTGAGATAACATGAAAGGTCATTCATTATGGTGGTTCTGGATAGTGTGGATCTTTTCAACTATATATTTTTGGGTTTCTCTTCTCTAAACCTCTATCATTGCATTGGATACCCAGTTTTAGACGAAGGTAATTTAAAGCATTTAAACTGCTTAATATATGGAATTGCCCCAGTTGCTTATATACATATCTCATGTGGAATTGCCAAAAACCGGTTTTGAAGTTATAATATTGAATTTCTAATTCTCTTTACTGATTGTCATTGAGAAAAAAAATGACACAAAAGTGGAATTTTATACTGTGTAGGGGGTGATGGTTATATAACTTATGTGTATATAGTAATTTCTTTAAAACCAATTACTTTCATTTTTTTATTACCTGATTTGCTAAGTAATAGTTTCAGGAAATTCATAATATTTTGTTTCTGAAATATAAGTATATTTATATAGTTCGAACTAGCTCAATCTTTGTGTAGATTAAGATTGAAGTTAAGAGGAAGCATTTTTTTATAGTGTGTTTCATAAGACGTGTATCATGGAATATTTTCCATTCAGTTTCTCTTTTTTTCAGCTTCATTGAGGTATAATTGACAAATTTGTAAAATATTTAAAGCATACATCACTGTGATTTGATATGCATATACATTGTGAAAGGATTCCTCTCATCTAGTTAATTAACACATCTGTCAACTCATTTATGTTTTTTGTGACATTTAAGCTCTACTCTCTTAGCAAATTTCAGTTATACAATGCAGCATATCAACTATAGTCACCATGTTATACATCGTCAGACCTAATTTATCTTATACCTGAAAATGTTGTACCCTTTTACCAACCTCTCCCGATTGCCTCCACCTTCCAGCCCCTGGCAGCCAGTTTTCTATTCTCTGCTTCCATTTCTATTAGTTACTGATTGCTATGTAACAAATTACTCCAAAACTTAGTGGTCAGGAATTTGGGAGCAGCTTAGCCGAGTGGTTGTATTTATATTCCACATAAAAGTGATACCATGCAGTATTTGTCTTTCTCAGTTTGGCTTATTTCACTTAGCACAGTAACCTCAAGGTCCATCCATATTGTTACAAATGGCAGGATTTCCATCTTACTCATAGCTGAATAATATTTTATTGTATGTATTGTACCATACCTTCTTTATTTATTCACCTATTGACACTTAGAGTTTTTTCCATTATCTTAACTGTTGTGAATAATGCTGCAGTGCAGCTATCTCTTCCATATACTGTTTTCATTTCCTTTGGATATATACCCAGAAGTGGGATTGCTGGAATATGTGGTAGTTCTACTTTTAGTTTTTGAGGAACCTCCATATTGTTTTCTATAGTGCCTGTATCAGTTGACATTCCCACTAACAATGCATAAGGGTTCCCTTTTCTCCACATCTTCTCCATCAGTTTGCCTCTTGTCTTTTTGATGACAGCCATTCTAACAAATGTGAGGTGATATCTCATTGTGGTTTTGATTTGCATTTCTCTAATGATCAGTGATGTTGAACGCCTTTTCATGTACGTGTGGGCCATTTGCATGTTGTCTTTGGAGAAATGTTTATTTATTCCTCTGCCTGTTTTTAAATTGGATTGTGTGGGTTTTTTCCTTATTTCTTTTTTGGCTCTTGTGTGAATTCTTTATAATTTGGATATTAGTCCCATATCAGATATTTGATATGCAAATATTTTCTCCCATTCCAGAGGTTGCTTTTTCACTTTTTTTGTTGGTTTTTCTTGCTGTGCATAAGCCTTTTAGTTTGATGTAGTCCTACTTGTATTTTTGATTTTGGTGTCAAATCCAAAGAAGTCATTGCTGAGACCAATGTCAAGGAGCCTTACCCTCTATGTTTTCTTGTAGGAGGTTTATGTTTTTAAGTCTTAAATTTAAGTCTTTAATCCATTTTGAATTGATTTTTGTGTATGGGATAAGATAGTGGTCTATTCTCATTCTTTTTTTTTTAAGATTTTTATTGGGGAATTGGGATGGGAACAAGCAAGTTGCTGTCATTTTGTTCTTCAGTCTAGACGTGGAGGACGCTTCCCCACTGGCCCAAGTTGGCACCATCATTGCGCTCCTCCCGGGCAAGGCAGATCAGTCGCCGGCCTCTGGACGGCCGCTCACTGCGGCTGCTGGCCGCGCACGCTGGCTGCTGGCCGTGCACGCTGGCTGCTGTCTACACATGGCAGCCCACGGCAACCCACTGCAGCAGGGGCTGCAGCCTACGCCGTCACTGGCGACCCATGGCAGCCCAGCTCCAGGTTGAGCTGCTGTTCAGCATCTCAGCTGTGGAGGGCAGTGTCACTGGCCCTTACACGTGGGATCCGAACCGGGGCCCCCTGGCGTCCCAAGCCAGCCCTTAACCATCGGGGCACTCGGCCGGCCCTATTCTCATTCTTTTGCTTGTTGGCTGTCCAGTTTTCCCAGCACCGTGTATTGAAGAGGAGATTATGTTTTTCCCATTATATATTTTTGGCTTCTTTGTCATAAATTATTAACCGTATATGCATGGGTATATTTCTGGGCTCTCTGTTTCATTGATCTGTGTGTAACATGTTACATATCAATGTGTAACATAGATCCTTATAAGCGTACACATGAACCATTCAGTTTCATGAAAATAAAAGACAATATAAGTTATGCTATCCTAAATTTTTTCTTCTTATTCCTTGTCTCTTTAAAACTGTATGTGAAACCCAATGTTAAAATTATTTATCTGTGGAATGTATACACATTCAGGAAATAATTTAGACATTAGATGTATTTGCAGCCTTTCTTCTCCTCTCCTCCAACCAAAAAATTTAATCCTTTGATTTGGTATTATCTAATAAAAGTAGAATTTAAATGTATTTGCTTATGGCAGATTTTTGACAGTAGAAGTAGTCTTCATTACATTTTATTGTATGTAAACTTTGCTCTCGGAATATGGACAATACTTACAGAAATTGTTGTTTCTAAGGGTCTTATTGAAGAATCAGAAACTTTAAAAATGGAAAGTGAAGACTTTAAGAGGAAATACAATTACGCTACATCCAAAGCTCTCAGACTTGAGGGAGATATTGTCTCGGTGACAAATAAAGCAATTGAAAAGGAAACTGAACTGGACAGGTACTTCTGATGCTTTTACAAAATGCCTTTATGCTTTAAAAATGGTTTAACAAAATTTTTGGTCTATATTAATGTTACTTGACCTTCATTCAGTTTAAGGGACAAACTTAGGAAGGTGCAATATGAAAGAGAACAACTTGAATATCAGTTGAAGACAGAAAAGGACGAGAAGGAACTTTATAAGGTAATTTATTCTTTCCACTTCTATTAGTTACCGATTGCCGTGTAACAAATTACTCCAAAACTTAGTGGTCAGGGATTTGGGAGCAGCTTTGCTGAGTGGTTGTAGCTCAGGGTCCCTCGGGTAGTTTCAGTCAAGCTTAAGGCTTGATTGGAGCTGGGCGCTCTGCGGTCAAGGTGGCTTACATGACTTCTGGCAGGAGGCCCTTCAGTTTCTTGCTATGTGGCCTCTTCAGTGGTTGCTTGAATGCCGTCACAGCTTGGCAGTCACCTTCCATCAGAGCTAGTCAAGAGAGAGCAAGGATGAAGCTACATTGTGTTTATGACCTAGTCTCCAAAGTTGTACACTGAAGCAAGTCACTTGGTCTGGCTGACACTGAAGGAGAGGAGGATATTAGGCTCCACTTTCTGAAGAAAGGAATGTCAGAGGATATGGGAACATATTTTAAAACGACCTCATTGTGTATAGTCCATAAAAGTTAGTTTTCAGGAAATTACTCTGTTTATCAGAATTTATATAACCAATTATTTCCCCCTTTTAAGAACATGCAAACTTGAGGAAGAACGTTACTTTATTTCAGTGATGATGGCCATGTTTTAGAGTTTGACTTTTGGAATAATCTTCAGAAACTGTCATTTCAAAAAGACATTCTTACTGTAGTGTTTTTAAAGTGATGCTGCAAAGATCTTGACTGATGATCCCTTCAGAGGATCCAGAGTTATAGTCTGTCCTCGTGAACAGAAATGACTGTTTTAGCATTCCATACATTTAAAGAGTACCGTGCAAGAAGTATGTTAATTCATTTCTCTCTGGTACCCTTAACCAAAGTAAGATAACTCTTTATAATGGAAACTAGATATGTGTATTCTTTATAATTTCAGTTATGGAATTTGATTTGTATATTTGTATATCTCTGTATGATTTGATTAAATATCTATTTGTATATCCGTATTTGTATATCTGAACAAATAAGCAGTCACATCCAAAGTCCCTGGGAAAATCAATAATAGTTCAGTTAATTAATCAACAAATATTTTTTAGGTACAGCGGAAGTAAATGACAGTACTCTTCATAAGCAAAAAATTGAATTGCTTAAGATGTTTTTCAGCATCTGGTCATGGCTTAAAATCTGAATATGTCTTTAACATAATCTATTTCCCCAAAAGAACCACTAAATCTATTTGCGATTTTATTTATTTATTTATTTATTTATTTATTTATTATTTATTTATTTTAGCTGAGCCAGCCTCCCACCTGTTGGCAGCTCAGCTGCAGCTCAGCTCGGGCATCTAACTGCTGTTGCTCAGAGCTCGCACTCTTGAGCGAGCTCTAAACCAACTGAGCCACTTGGCTGGCCCTATTTGCGATTTTAAAGAGAACTTTTACAATAAAATTATTAACGGAAAAGACTAGTGATCAGGTAACATTGGTAGACCTTAGAATTACTCTCTGTGGAAAAGTAAAAAACAACAACAACAAAAAAACAACTTAGAAAAGCGGTGTTCCGCTCTGCTTAGTTAGCTAGTCATTTGGCAGAACTTGGGTCTCCTGATTCCTAGTCAAGTAAGTCTTCCTTTCCCTTAATTATATTTGGGTTAGAGACAAACAGTGGTATTTTAAACATTGACTAACTCAGGTTATGGAGTTAGAATATTCTTAACATTTTCAAGCACTATTACAGGTCCATTTGAAGAACAGAGAAATAGAAAACACCAAGCTTATGTCTGAGGTCCAAACTTTAAAGAATTTAGATGGGAACAAAGAAAACATGATTACTCATTTCAAAGAAGAGATTGGCAGACTGCAGTTCTGTTTGGCTGAGAAAGATAGTCTGCAAAGGGCTTTCTTGCTTACAACCTCAAGTAAGGTAAGTACTTTTGCAATATATATTTGAAGGTGGTAAAACATTTTCTCTGTTAAATGTATACAATATGGTGGTTTCTATTTTTAATCTCCCCCCAACAGTTTCTGTTGAAAAAGTTCAAACTTACAGAAGTTTACGGGAAGGGTTGTTATAATGAGAGGTTCCCTGTTGCCCTGTCCCCCTTTTGTATATCATTGTGGTCTTTGGGTTCTTTTTCGTTCAGTGTATTATACATTATCACCATTATTCTTTTTCATACCCAAATTGTCCCATATTTAGCTTTTGTGTCTTTTTGATATGCCCACCTAAGGCTTTGAATACTTCCTTGCTTTGTGGCACAGCTGTATGTTACAGCTTTAGATTCTGCCCCAGACCTGGTATCAGCCATTTCTCCAAGGAGCCCCAGTGTTTTCAGTAGGGAATGGTATTTGCAAGCCAAGAACTTGATTCTGTTGCTACTGGGGTTGTTGCTTTTTTGTACTTTCTGGACAGACATTTTAAGTCTTTAATTTATATTGATATCTCCAATTCAAATCCAGTACCTTAGGGTTCTTCCTTACCTTTCTCTATTCCATATTTATGTATCTCTTCTACTAGTGTGAGAACCCCTTTATCCCCAAAGTATCATAGTTGTATTTTAACCAGCTGTACATACCAATAGATTCAGAGTAATTCAAATGATAAGTCTCCTAAATAAAATTAGGATCTTTTGCAACTCTTTTTTTCTTAGACTATATTTCACTAAGGATGTACAGGGTACCATGTTCAAAAGCTACTAGAATTAATGTTTTAACATTACAAATTTGTCGTACAGTTCAGTTTATTTATTTGTATTTAATTTGAAGATTTACTCTTATTTCTATCTTTTGATTTAATTTTGTTTCTTGTATATGTAAAATAGTTGCATCATTCAAAAGTCAAAATGATAAAAAAAATTTACTCTTATGTCTCAATCTCTTCCCTAAAAAACCCCCTTTTTTGCCTATATCAGTAGGTAAACATTTTCATTAGTTTCCGGTTGATCCTTCTTCCGTTTCTTTTTGCAACAAGAAGCTTATGTGCACACACATGGCTCCACATGCTCCTCAAGTCACCTTCTTTTTTAAAGGTGCCATGCCGTGTATACTCTTTTGCACTTGCTGATTTTCATTTAACAACATAAACTACAAATCATTTCCATATCATTTCAGGGAAATCTTTCTAATTTGAAAAAATGGCTGTGTAATAAGTAGCTTTACATTCATTTATTTATTTTATGGAGGAGTATTATGTTTTCAGTAGTTTGCTATTAATATTAAATACACCCAGACATAGTTAATACAACACCTAAATGTCAGATGTGCATGACATTTAGAATTAATGGTTAAGGCCCAAGTTATTTTTCAGGGTATTTAATGTAGCGGATTGCAAATGTAAAGGTGAAAAATACATTTGATGACTTATTTGTTATTTAATAAAATGCTAAAGATTTCTCTTTTTCCTATTTAAGCAAGACTTCTGTGAGGAAAAACATAGGTATGGAAGTACCTGGAAAAACAACTCCTAATTGCTAAAACTTTAAAAAAATTTTAAAAGCAGTGCACAAGGTCATGGTTATAAAATATAATTCAAATAGTACGTGAGGGTACAAAGTAAAAGTCATTCTCTTTTTTCCCCCAGATATAGCATTATAGAATTTTTAATTTTTCTAGAAATACATTGAATGTACGTATAATATAGTTGAACAAAACCAAGAATTTATATAGTGTTTCAAAACCTTTAAAAATTTTGGAGACTCTGGGCATCTTGCAATATGAGTACACATATAGATATTTTCTCATTTATTAGAATAGCTCTGTAGTATCCCTTCTTTTATTTAACAGCTGTATATATAGTATGAAATTGTTTTTAGATGTATACAACCCTTAGCTATCATAAGGATGTTGCAGTAAACAACCTTGTACAGATATCTAGGCACATGTACTTAGGGTTGTTGGAAAAGTCATAACGTATTTTTTCTGTTTTTTGTTGCAAAAATGAGTCATGACTTTTCTGACAACCCAATATAAATCTGTACAATAAATTCCTCCAAGTGCAGTTGCTAGATAAAGTGCTTAAATTTTCAGTTATTTTTATATTGTTTTCAGAAAAGTTAATATACCAACAGTGTATGATATATACTGTTTGTAGTGGCTGCATAGACTTTCATTAAGGATATAATTTATAATAAATTCATAGTTTTAGACATTTTGACTTTAATAATTGTTCATTATTCTGATATTTTACTGAATCCCTATAATGCTAAACCTGTGTTTATACACTTTAATAATTTTCTTAGAAACCCATGAAAATAAAATTGGTAGATCAAAAGCCATGTGCTTTTTAAAGGTGTTCATGAATCTGCAAAAATCTGATGAGAAAGGTTGTATCACTTACAGATTATGAAAGTCCAGTTGTTTGTAAATGTGCTGATTATCCTAAACCCATTCAAATATTGGTATTACTGTTTTTTTAGTACAGTTTTTTAAAGTACATTTTTGAATTACAAAGAAATGTTTGAAATTATTTTTATTGGTGATTATAAGAAATGAAGATGAGTACTTCCACTGGAGAGAATTTGGGGGAACAAAAGCTTTTATGTGAGTCTCAGTTTAGCCAGGCTGTCAAATGCTGGGTATGTTGCCTGACTTCTTTTTGTCAGCTTCCTCCTGTATAAAGTGGTAGTGATACCTGGTGTATAGATAGGGTTGTTTTATGGGGACTCGGAAACAAGGTCACATCTTAAGGTTTTTATAGAGTTATATACTGCATGTAAGTCATGAATAGAAAAACAATATTTAAAAATTTGCATCTGTTGAAATATGAGTACAAAATTTTTCTGCTTCTGTTTTTATTTGAATGTTTTAATTACACATATTCATCTGTCTTTCTTCAGGAAGATACACTTTTTTTAAAGGAGCAGCTTCGTAAAGCAGAGGAACAGGTTCAGGCAACTCGGCAAGAAGTTGTCTTTCTGACTAAAGAACTTAGTGATGCTGTAAATGTGCGAGATAAAACCATGGCAGATCTGCATACTGCTCGCCTGGAAAATGAGAAAGTCAGAAAGCAGTTAGCTGATGCGGTGGCAGAGCTTAAAATGAGTGCTGTGAAAAAAGACCAGGTAAAGCAGGTTAATTCTGAATTTTCATTTTGCCCAAAATTCATTATAAGAATGAGATATGTTAAAATAAATCAGGTCAGATTTCTGATCACAGAATTTTAAGTTTCTATTAATTGTGTTTAATCATGGTGACTTTAATATAAGCTTTAAGAAAAAGTGCTGTAAGCAAATTCCTAATGGTCAGTAAGTAAAAGCTGGTCTATTATTATTTATTAAACTATCTGATGTCAGGTATATATTGCTTTGTTTGGAATTTCTTACTAGCTTCATAAAGTGGCATTACAGTTATTTAACAGGGTAATACTTGCTCCTCAGGAGGTGGATTATTCTTCTCTAGCTTTTTAATGAACCTTAGTGTAAGAATATAAAGCTGAATTTATTAGGAGAGCTAATATAGCTCTGTAGCCAAAACTCTAAAAGAAATAAAAATTAAAAGCCAGAAAGAAAAAAGTGAAATTGAATTGGATTTACTACTGCATTATGAAATGCAAAACTTTTATTTTTTCTTAAAGGAAGTGTTTATTTCTCTTTTAGGAAAAGACTGATACACTGGAACACGAACTGAGAAGAGAAGTTGAAGATCTGAAACTTCGTCTTCAGATGGCAGCAGATCATTATAAAGAAAAATTCAAGGAATGCCAGAGGCTCCAAAAACAAATAAATAGACTTTCAGACCAGTCAGTAAGTATAACTGAATTCATACAAAGTGAAACATTTCTGATCAATATTTTTGTTTGCAAATCAGATTTTATCATTTTCTAAATATCAGCCTTTTAAGCATAATTTACCTCTGCTTGATTTCAAGTCGTTGGCCTAATGTTGTAATAATAAGTTTTTTAAAATCTGGAATTTTTATTTGCTGGAGAACCAACAAAGGAAGCAAGGGCAGTAGCAGGGAAAAAAATAATAAAAGGAGAGAGCCCTCTTAGTTATTTCCCTCTATGATCTTTATAAATGTGTTTTTCGCTTAAAGATTCAATATGTATTATTGAATTCCCTCTTTGTGACAGTGACCCCTGTCCTCAGTGGGTTAACCATTGATCATTCCCAGGGTCTTAGATGGGTTCTCAGTTGTCATTGGTTTTTTCATCCTGTTATACCACTAGATAAGGAAGAGTTAAAAAGTGTTAGCTAATTAATTTGTATTCCATTTGAGAGTGGGTAGGCAGATTTAATAAAATCAAAGAAAATTTTGTTATGATGTTTGTATGTTTTAATGTGGGTCCCCAAATTGTACTTCAATATAAGGCTTGCTATATAATGGAGTCTTGGAAATGAAGAAACATTTAAAATATGAAGTTGAAAATGATATCACAGCTCTCTTTACCAACCAAATTTACTGTAAAGTTTTATTTGTACTGTACTGTATGATACAGATGCTACTTTCCCAGTCTTTTTTTGAAATCTGAAAGGAGACGAAAGAAGCAAGAAATACATGAGATAAAGTAGGAAAGCTTTTGTGGAAAAGCATTATACTGGAAATATGACCCACGTGTATAGATTTTGGTTTTGGGCCTTTAAGTTACTATGACTTTGTAGTAGTAAACTGGTGAGATTTCCATGAATGGCTTGTTTTGATGGTATTTTGATGATTTCACAAGAAAAAGCATCACAATGTTTTTCTCTTTTGTAATGTAAGGTGACGTGTGTAACTTTAGTCATTGTTGGCTTGTAGGACAGTAGCAGCTTTGTGGACTTTTCAGGATTTCTTGGTATTATTTACAGAATTACTGAAGGAAGGAAATATAAATCATTTAACAATTTATTGTTAACATTTGAATAGGCCAATAACAATAACGTCTTCACAAAGAAAACTGGGAATCAGAAAGTGAATGATGCCTCGATAAACACAGACCCAGCTACCATTGCCTCTGCTACAGGTATAAAGCCACCACCGTCTGCAGGTAAATATCTGTTCGACTTTTGTGCAGTGTCCTGCCATAAAAAGTATGCGTATTTATGTTGCCTTATTCCAGGTGTAAGAATTTTAGGAAGCTTACAGAAATCTTTATAAGTGAGGGAATCGAGGCAAAGGGAAATAAGGGTCTGAAAGTAAGATAAAGTCATACATTGTGGTGAATATACAAAATGTAAGTGTGAACTAGTGTTTATCTTCATGAGAATATTCACAAGTGTTAAATGAGCTGGTGTTTCATAAACTCAAATGCATACAGCATTTGGGCTACAGAACAAAAGCCAAGAATTGAATTTTTAATTAACATTCCACTAAATCTATGGAATTTTGAAACATTTCTGGCATTTTAATTGTACAATTCTTTGGGGGCAGTAACATATAAATCCCCTGTTTGGTGTCTCTCATCTCTCTTCTTCGGCTGTTTTGGATCAATAGTGTATTTTCCTCATTAGTTGTACTTGCGGATAAGTTAAATTTTATGTTAGTTTATTAATTGATAGAACAGATTGGAGAGACATAGTGAATACAAGAACAACATGAAATTTGAATTAACTCTAGGCATTCATTTGTTCTCAATTCTTTTTTTCACCTTATGTCAACAATTAGGCAATAATGTAAGTAAGTAGTAGAGTATATGAAAGTATATTTTCTTGTGTCATGTTTGGGGCAATTGATGTTTTCTACTTTTAAAATGTATTGTGAATTTCCTATACTATTAAATGTTTAATTAGGTTCAGCTGCGACAGAACAGAATACTATTTTCCACTTCTGTACATACATCCTCTGTAGTACGTAGATAGTGTTGTAGAATATTTACTTAATGAAGACCTAGTGAAGAGTAATGAAGGACTGGAAAAATTATTTAAAATGTTTTCTCAAAGAGTATGGCTTTCCTACTTATCCTGTCCTGTTATATAAATTTTTGTGCCATTTTAGAACTTTTTTTTTTTTTTAAGCTGAGCCATCCTGCTACCTGTCGGCAGCTCAGCGGCTGCTCAACTCGGGCTGGGAATCGAGCCGCTGTTGCTCAGAGCTCAAACTCTTGAGCGAGCTCTTAACCAACTGAGCCACTCGGCCGGCCCTAGAACTATTTTTAGCTAATTAAAATAATGATCCTTTTGTTACAGAATGTGAACTTGGTTCTCGTCAAACTGACATTAAAAAATTCTCAACTAGAGTTTACAGTATTCTTTATTTGGTGTATGAATAGAGATTTTAAAATAGATGTTTCTCTTTCAGTATTCCATTTACTATATTTCACAGTGTACTGACCTTTAAGTTACCTGAACAGGAAGATAAGGGGCAAAATAATTTTTAATCTTATTTTCTGCCTTGTTATAGCTGAGAAAGACTTTGACATTGTAACGAAGGGGCAAGTCTGTGAAATGACCAAAGAAATTGCTGACAAAACAGAAAAGTATAATAAATGTAAACAACTCTTACAGGTAAGCTAGCTACCTTGTAAGTGAAAGATAGATTTATCAAATGTAATGACTTAGCTTACCTTTATTGTTTTGGTTGATGGACGTCCTAGGGTTTCTTTTTCAAATCCATATACTGGTATTTTATTTCACTGTTGAGATGATGAAAGGGGGCTGTTCTGTGGACCTTTCCATGTAGCTTGTGTGTAAAATCATGATCCTAAATGATTTTTTGTTCACCTACTGTCCTTATCTAGATAATGGGCAAGTGATTAATTGATGTTGGATAATATTGTCTGTCTTATTTTAAAGATACATGGAAAATATTTGAACTTCATAAAAGGGAAGTGCTCCTTTTACATTTACTGTAATAATAACAAAGACTTGTACTGCATCTTAAAGTGACCAAATTTGCAAAGTGGAAAAAGGGAACATTAACCAAATGGGTTACTGCCTTTAAGGTGTTACTTAGTTTGATTTTTAAACTGTATTGTTCAAACATTTCAGTTTTGCCAACTGTCTTGGTAACATTCACTTCTGGAGTATTCAAAGGACATAGGGAAAATGCTTCTCATTTATACGTGATTTGCAGAAGGGAGGAAAAGGTGTTTTTGTATGTAAATTTTGTTTGTTTAATTAAATATTTGTGTGTGTGTGTTTCTCTATGCATGTGGAGAGGAGAGGGATACGTAATTTTTAGAGCTGTAGAATGAAGTTCATACATTAGCTCAAGGTTACGAGAGTAATTTAAAATACGTTGTTACTGCCTTCTAAAGAATATTAATGTAATCTTTTAATCAAAGTTTAAACTGAACATTTATGTTGCTTCAGATGGTCTTTCCTCCATGGAAGGGCTGATTAGAACAGTTTTACCCTGAGTCCAAAGTAGTTGTTTATAAGGGACTAAACTATTTTTCATTAAGTATGAAATGATTCTGGAACAATTTTCATTATATAGTATTATTGAAAGGAAGATTGAATGTTCCATCAAAACTAAAAACTTCCTCAAGGTACTTTTTTCTCCTTTTCTCTTCTCTTCTCTTCTCTTCTCTTCTCTTCTCTTCTCTTCTCTTCTCTTCTCTTCTCTTCTCTTCTCTTCTCTTCTCTTCTCTCTTCCCCCTCCCTCTCCCCCCCCCTCTTTTTATAACTGTGTTGAAGTGCAATTAAAATCCAAGAAACCGCACATATTTCAAGTCTGCGGTTTGATCAGTTTGCCATATATAGTCAGGAAACTACCACAGTGTCAGGATAATGAACATTTCCATTACTCCCCAGAGTTTGTTTTTGTACCCATTTGCAACTCATCCCTCCCTTTGTCGCCATCCCTGGGATACTGTTAGCTTGCTTTCTGCCACTAAGATTAGCCTACCTTTTGTATAGTTTCTATAGATGGAGTTATATGGTATGTACCCTTTATTTCCTGTACTCTTTCAGCATAATTACTTAGAGACTTATGCATATTGTTGCTTATATTGTACTTAATTCTTTTTTATTGCAAGAGTTCAAATCTCTTGCCATTTTAAAAATTGGGTGGTTCATCTTATTGAGTTGGCAGTGTTCTTTATTCTGGAAATAAGTCCTTTGTCTCATACATTTGTAGTGAATATTTTCTCCAGTCTGTGGCTTGCTTTTAATTTTCTTAATGGTATTTTTTAGAAAAAGTTTTAATTTTGATGAAATAGGGTATCAATTCTTTTATGTTTTGTACTTTTTATGTTCTAAGAAACACCTAATTTAACTTGCAAAGATTTTTCTCTTTGTCTTCCAGAAGTTTTATAGTCTTAGTTTTACATATAGATGTATTAGCCATTTCAAGTTTATTTTTCTGCATAGTGTGAGGTATGGTATGTATAGTTTGGATAGTCAGTTGATCCAGCATCATTTGTTGAAAAGACTTTCTTTTCTCTATTAAAATTGCTCAAAGCATAATTTTAAACTTCATCTTGAACAAAAACATTTAAAATGACATTGGGAATTTACCTTTTTGTCATGTTTGTAACTCCTTCCTTTTAACATTCTGGGTTATAGAGAGACAAGCAATGTATAAGAAGTCAGCCTAGAGATTGTCTTGGTCTGGAAATCCCAGAGTTTTATTTATCAGTGTCTGGAAACAATAGTGTTATGAATATGAGTTTTATTACCTCCTTTTGCAAAAATAATAACATGGTTATTGTAAAATCTTGTGTATGGCATTATAGAAATAAAGAATAAAGATTGTAAAAGTACCATCATGATTCTGATCCCCAGAGATAAGAGCTATTAATAATTTGGTGTATATTTTTCTACACACATTACAGAGCCATCATATAAAACTGTGTTAAACAACTTAAACAAATAGAATTATACTATATATTCTGTTTTTGCAACATGATATTTTCAGTTAATGTGTCATGACTTTTTTTTGATAACTCCATTGTGTGGGTATAAAATGATTTAGTCAGTCTTCCACGGACAGACATTTGGTTATTTCAGTTTTTTACTGTTATAGTAGTGTTATAATAAACATTCAGCACATATCTGTTTGAGTAGATATTGGCTCTATATGGGTTTAAAATCTTTTGGTAATTTACTAATTTCATTTAGGATGAGAAAACAAAATGCAGTAAATATGCTGATGAACTTGCAAAAATGGAGCTGAAATGGAAAGAACAAGTAAAAATTGCTGAAAATATAAAACTAGAACTAGCTGAAGTAGAGGACAATTACAGAGTAAGTTTAGTATTCATATAACTTGAAGCATAATACCTGGTACTTTTGAAAATGTGTTACCTACAATTTTTATCAATCTAATGTGCATTTTTAATATGGATAATGGGGATATTATTTTTGTATATAAATAAAAATGTTCTATGTATTTAGTTATATTGCGTATAGTTCCTTAACTGTGAACTGAGGAAATGCATACCCATATGCATTGCCATTGTGGCTTTAAATTTGTGGATTCAGATGGTTATTAAAATTATATCTTTTAATTGTGTTCTGTTTTTAAGATGAAAGTGATCATTTTATTATTCTCTTCAACTTAAACGTGTATGTAGAATTATTTTAGAACCTTGAAATTTTTGTGGGAGTGTAATATAATCAGTAATTTAAAAAATTTATGTAAGAGTTTTTAAATTTATTACCAAAGTGTGTTACTTATGATCCTAAGTGAAATATTGCAGCGTACATTTTTGCCAGTGTAACCTATGGCAATAAATAAGCCTAAATGATAAATGATATTCGTAAGAACGTTAGAGAAAAAAATTTAGCAGGCTAACTAGCTAATCGGCAAGGAGAAAGGAATTTTTTCCTCTAAGGAATAAAGTGTAATCTTTATATTTTAAGATATATATATATAAAAAAAAGATATATATGTATTTGTAATTTGCATATTTTTGTGTTATTAAAGACTAGGAAGTTCTAAATTATTAAACTTTGTGAGTCATAACTAATTGTACTTATAATTTTTAAACGTAATATTTTTAAAAACACGAAGAACTACTTGAGGTTTCCCCCATGGGGGCTGGAGAGGGTGGCATATTATAGGTGAAGATACTTTTACTGATAAGTCCATATTTGTAATTGTAAAGAAGTGGACACACACAGCATGGGGGATTGACAATGTTGGTGCAGTTTCATATAAACTAGGGGAGAAGTTTTAAGAGTAAAGGAAGTTGGTTGGTAATGATAAGTAATTCAGAGATGTCAAAGAATAAGAACCAAGGAAAACATGGATAGGGTAGTAGTAATTATTTGGATAGAATACTGTAAACTCTTGAAGTGTAAGGAGAGAGTAGATAATGAAAAAATTTATTATACTTTTTTTCAGCTCCAGTTGGCAGAGAAAGAGAAAGAAATAAATGGTCTAACTTTACATTTGGAAAACCTCTTCAGGGAGAAGGTATTGAACAATGTACTTTAAAAAATGTTTCATATGACACTGAATGATAATACAACTTGATGAAGAGATGGCTTTTACAGTTCATGTGAGGGTGATTTTTTAAAAAACAGTTGAATAAAGAAAAGATTGTTAAAACTCTTAGGTGGAAAATGTATTTTGTTAAAATTTTACTTCATAATATGAGAAAATGCATAATTTAGTTTAACTTAGTTTAGTCTGTTACATATTTTATATTTAACAATAAATAAATTTTACAATGTTCAAATTTAGGAAAACTATAAACATTTTTATAATTACATATAATGTGTTTATCTGGTTTTCTTTTGCAATAGGAAACATTTTAGAAGTTGTTAAAATGATTTATAGCATAACATTCAATCAGAGCATACCTTTGTGTAATGTAAAAGATTCTATAGTGCAGCTTTTTTCCAAGTGGTGTGTGGTCCTTTGGAGGGTTCCTATTCCCTTTTAGGAGTCTATAAAGATAAAACTCTTCAGAATACTGCAGTGTTATTTCCCCCCCCCCCAGTGTGTTATACTTGCACACTAGGTGTGAAAACAGTGGTGGGAAAACTGATATATTTATATTATGTCAAGGCAGTGGCACCCAAGTGTATTAGTAGTTACTGTAGTCCTCCCAACCATGCGTTCACAGTTAGAAAAGCTTAAGATGATGAAAGAGTAAAATAATTTTATTGAAGCTTGACCTTGGGGTACCCATCTTGTTAATATTCTTTGTGATGAAATGGGAAGTACCCCCAAAGCACTTCTGTTCCCCTGATAATGTGCGATGGTTATCTCGAGGTAAAGCACCTGTGCGATTGTTGGAGTTGTGAGTTGAACGAGCCTCTCTTTTTTTTATGGCACATTATTAGAAATAGACAAGATTTGGTTACTCAGAGTGGTGTATTTGGCAAACATTACTTGAAAAAAAGTGATAGGCCACTTTAAGGAAGACCAATTGGTAGTATTTGTTGCCAATGATAGAAGTCAATCTTTAAGCAAAAGTGGAATTTTGGGAACCTTGTATTTGCTACCATAAGCTTGATACTTCCAAATGCTTACGGACTTTCCTAATTAGATGGGTAATAATATTAAGACTACGACTTTTAAAAATTGTTTAATGAAATGTGTCAACATTTGGAAGATCTTGGTGAACCAATCAATAATTTAAATGACCAGTGATGATACTACAAAACGATGCATGGTAAAAGAGCCATTCAAAGTGCTAGATAGACCTCAAGGTTGATTGGATGACGTTACCATGGTAGTTGCAAAATTCTGATTTTAAAATCCATCACTTCCTCCCTATTGGTCCCTTGGCATTCTATAATAATGAAGAACCTTCCTTTGTCCTTATTTATGTTCCAGCAACAATTCTCGGACATCAACTGGGTGTACTTACAATTCAGTTCCTCTTTGACATCATCTCTGTGGAATTATTGCAGACCCAAATTAAGGGCTCAGCTCCCCTTGCACTCATGTTTTGCTAGAATGACCCACAGAATGTAGGAAAACACTATACTTATGATTACATTTTATTATAAAGTTTTGTTATAAAGGGTACAACTCAGGAACAGCCAAATGGAAGAGATGCACAGGACAAGGTGGGGGTGGGGGTCCCTAGAGCCTTCATGCCCTCTCTGGGCATGTGGCACTCTTAGCACATTGATACTTTCACCAACAGGAAGTGCCCCAAACCTTGCTAGAGTTTTTAATCTGGGGTCTCAGTACATAATGATTGATGAACTCGTTGGCCAAGTGATTTAACTCAATCTCTGCCCTTTCTCCCATTGCCTGGAGGTGGGGCGAGTGCTAAAATTTCCAACTCTTTACTCTTGTGCTTGGTCTTTCTGGTGACCAGTCCTTCCTTTCAAAGTCTGTTAGGGCCCACAAGTAGTCACCTTGTTAGCATGAAATCAGGTATGGTCTAAAGTTTAAAAGGACTTGTATGAATGACAGAAGACACTCCTATGATTTAATACATTCAAAGAGTTTTAGGAGATCTGTGCCAGGAATTGGGGGGAAAAGACCCAAGTATATTTTTTATATCAGTGTGTGAGTATGTATGTATATTTTTAATTTGTATTTGGGTGTCTGTGTCCATCCGTCTGTCTACCTACCTGTCTTCCTACCTGACAGCCATCAGTATGAACTCTTTTCAGTCAGTGGATTAGAATTTGTTAGTGTTCTTGATTTTATGTTCACATGGTCGTAGATTTGGCGAGGAGGAGTAAGTACCTCATGCTGGTTTTTCAGATGCCCCAGTATGAAAAGGATGTTGTGTTTTGAGCACTTATTTCTTTCTAGCCCTGCAAGATAGTCTAGCTCATCTTGTACCCTTCTTACCTCATCTTGGAATGGGCCTTCCCCCCACCCCCCATCCCCCCTTTTAAGTAAGAAGCTCTGGTCCAACTCGGGAATCAGTTATTTCCCTAAGGAGTTGTGATTCCTTGTTAGTGAGAAATGGTATTTAGAAACCAAAATATGGGGCCCAGGTGTGCACATTATTACTGGTGCTCATTGCTTCTAGATTCTTTTCAGTGGACAGAACTAGAAAACATTTACATTTTAGATATCACGAGTTGTAGTCTGACTTCACAGGGTTCTTCCTGCCTTGCTCATTTTCTGTTTGTACACGCCTTCCACAGTGAGAACCCTGGTGCCTTTAATAACCCACATAAAATCGTTTCAGAATTGGCGTGAGCCTATCACTATCACTAGGAGAAGGAAACCTATTAAGAATAGAATTGAAGATTGTTTGCAATTTTTTTTTTTTGCCCCCTAGGCTGTCAGTATATTGTGTTCAAATGTTACTTGGCGTTAGTTTTCATCTCCCCATCTCTCCACTCTCCTCCATTCTTTCCCTTCCTTTCCCCCTCGCTTTCCCTTTTAGTGTGTGGAGATTCCTGCAAGTAAACAGTGGATTAAAGATAAAGCAATAGGAGCACAAACAGATGAGTAAGAACGTAATAGTTTTTTATTTCTGGTACAAGTTGTTTTGATCAGGTATATTGTAAAGTTAAAATGATCTAAGCAGATCTTACAAGAAATTGGATATATATATTCCAAATGCTTAAGACAACTTTTTGAAATATGAATTTACTTTCACTATTTTAATAAGAAACCTGACTCTTAAGTGTATTTTGTGCTTAGAGATATTAGCTAATGCTAGAGAGAGGATACTTTATATATTGTACATTTGTAAAATATATAAAAATATAATTTATACATAAATTATATACATATAACAGCTGTATTTTATATGTATATGTATATTATTTTGAAGTTTCATATATGATAGTGAAATATATAGACAGTCCTGAATCATTATAACCATTTGTACATTTTGTTGTATAAATGGCTGAAATCACACATGGAAAATAATGTAGTGACTGTATTAATTACGCTATGTAACAAATTACCCCAAAATTTAGTGACTTAAAACAACTTTTGTTATTTCACAGTTTCTGTGAGTTAGGAATCCCGGTGTGGCTTTAGATGCTCTCACTAGCCTGCAATCAGGGTATGAGATGGGGCTCAGTCATCTCACAGATGTAGATCTATTTCTAAGCTGACGTAGGTGATTGTTGTCAGGATTCATTTCCTTGGGGATTATTGGGCTGGGGGCCACACTTCCTGCTCTGCCATCTTCTATGAGATAGGTCACTCCCTGCCTCTGTTCTTGACTCAGGTAAAAAGTGATATAACTGACAGGCAGGGGTAGTAACCTTTGAAAACGGAAAGCTGATCACTCCATTGTTTAAAGCTCCTAATGGGCCTCCCAGGCACTTAGGATAAAAGCCAAAATTCTTAACATAGTCTGTAATATTTTATGACTGGCCTCCATTTATCTCTCTAGTTCCATCTTAAGCCACAATTTCCTCTTTCACTGTCCTGTATGTAGAGTCTCTCTTAGTACTACTCAAACTTGAACTTGCATCAGACCCACTTGTAGTGTTTATTAAAACACAGATTTCTGGCTCCCATTCCCAGAGTTTCTGATGTAGTAGGTCTGGAGTGGGGCGTGAGAGTTTGCATTTCTAACAAGTTCTTGGTGCTGCTGGTCTGGGAACCACACTTGGCGAGTTGTTCTCGGCACTGAGGCCTTACAACTCACCAATTGCTTTCTTGTCTCAGGGCCCTCATTCCTGTCCTTTGCCAGGAGTATTCTTGCCTACAATTCTTTGTTTGTTAAACTTTTCCTTAAGAAGAGTTTAAGTATGTACGAAAATAGAATAATATAATGAACTCTGGTATACTTCTCTCCCAGCATCCACAATTGTTACTATGGCCTTATCTGTCGCACCATGATTCCCTTCCCTCCTCCTTCCAGCGATATTTTTCTCAAGTATATCCCAGAATTCCTGTTGTTTCCCTCTCAGTATTTATTCTCTCACTCTTGACTCACCCTTAAGTCCCAGATGAAATGTTCTTCTTCAGAGAGGCCTTCTTTGACCTCCCAGCCTAAATTAGGTGCCACTATTAAACTTGCACCTGGGACCTGTACTTTTATTTCATAGGACTTAACCATAATTTGTAATTAATATTTATTTCTGTGCTTATTTGTCTAACATCTACCTCTGCTTAATTGTAAGGTTCATGAAGACAGGGATTGTGTCTATTTTATTCACCACTGTATTTGCAGCATTTAGTACAGTGCCTAATATTTGATTTTAAATATTTGTTGAATGAGTAAACAAATTAATGGAGCAAACCTAGTTTACATCATTTGCTTATCAAAACATTTGGTAAAAGAAATGCACTGGAATCAGCAGTTTTATTGTCAGCTAATTCCCTGCCCTGTAAGAAATGCAACAGAAGTGGGCCAGTTTGCTTTCTCCCTGCTATCTTTCTGAGTTACTCTTGATTTTCCTGCTGGTGACACTTTAGTTTTCTATTGCTTCAAAAGATTGTATTTATAAGAATTTCTGTTTGCTATTCCAAGCCCTTGCTTAATGTTTGTCTCCTTGCTCATTGTTTCTGAGAACACTCCCCCCTAACGAAGTCCTTTATAAGGTTAGGATTAAGTCCTTTTTGTTCAGCACTGACGCTTAGATCTAGACACAGAGCCTGGGATGAAGCATTAGATGAGGGGCTAAATGAAAAAGTGGATTTGTCACCATCTAACAATATGTATTTTACTTATTTTGTTTATTGTTCATCTTAACCTGCTCTAGAATGTAAGCTCCATATGTTAGGAATTTTTGTTTGTTTTGGTTATTCCTAAATCCCTAGTGCCTAGAACAGTACCTGCCACATAGTAGATACTCATTAAATATTTACTGAACATATGCGTGAATGAAAGAACTCATTATAGTTTTTAAAAAATAAACTAGTTCCCTAGTAGAGTAAAACTATATTTAGAAAATATTTTTAATAGTATGAAGTAGGATTAAAAACCCTACCAATTTAAATTTATTTAGAACCTTAATAGCTTAAAGTATCTTTTCATGTCATTCCAAAAGTGCTATTTAGAATTGTCATTTCTGTGTGTGTCTTCATACTATTTCAGATATATTCTGCATAAACCCTTTATTATAAATTTGCAAAGGAATGAGTCAAAATAGTAAAGCAAAAGCAAAATGGCAAATAATGATAAAATATCGAGAAATACTTTATTGCCAGAGAAAAAATTAAAATTTAATCTTAAAACTCTTTCAAATTGTTTCTTAATATCAGATACCTGACAAGTGATTTTTTTGAATCGTCATTTTTTATTTCTAGATGATCTGCTTTCTATCTGAGATTGGAAGAGTTACACACACACACACACACACACACACACACACACACACACACACGATAATGGAAGATGTCTCTAATGAAATGCTACAATAGCATGATGGTTAAATGACCCTAAAGAACTGATCTTATAAAAGTCATACAGACTACCATTTGTTTACCTTTTTTGCTATAGCTTAGAGGCTGTCTGGAAGTGATAAAAGGATAAAGATTATGAGAATTACATACCTTGAACAACTTGTTCAGAGAGTTGTAATTCAGAATATTTACTGTCTTTTCTCTACTGACACGCATCCGCATGTGTCAGATAAGATCAGTGTATCATTCCTCCTACTTAACAGTTGGAGTGGCAGAGGCATCCTTAATTTGTCTGATAATTTGTAAAACCAAGGCTACTGTGAGACATTTTGGGGCCCTGAAGGAAAAAAAGGATGTATGCACTCTGTCCAGCAAAGGCAATCAGCTAAGCTAACTTTTGTGCCCTGAAATTGTAAAAGAGGACTTTTAACAAATCTGTTTCTTAAGTTGTGGAAGGTTTTTATTACAGGAGAATTGCTAATCAGGTACTGTTGTTTTGCTCAGGTAAGATATTGGGTTGTCAGAAAAGTCATGACGTCTTTTTTCTGTTTTTCGTTGCAAAAATGCATCATGACTTTTCCTATAATTCAGTAGTAGATTCTTCAGGATTTTCTACATATGGGATCATGTCATCTGTGAATAAAGACAATTCTTCTTTCTTTCCATTATGTCTGCTTTAATCTTAATCTTGACTTAATCAACTGTTGAGAATCTCCATTACAATGTTGACTAGACGTGAGAGCAGACATCCTTTTCAGTATTGATTTTAGGTAGAGTCATTTAGTTTTTAACCATTAAGGTTCACTGTAGGTTTTTTGTATATGCCTCTTATCAGGTTAAGGAAGTTGCTTTTTATTTCTAGTTTGTGAGATTTTTATTTTTTAAATCATGAATGACTTGAATTTTGTAAAATATTTCAGTGGATCATCTGTTTTGTTCCATTAATCTGTGAACATGGTAAATTACATTGATTTTTGGATGTTAAACTAAATTTGCTTTCTCATAAAACCCACTTGGTCACGATGTATTCTTTTTTACTATTGTTGGATTTGATTTGTTAATAAATGAAGGATTTTTGCGTCAGTATGCAGGCGGGATGAGCTCTGTTGTTTTCCTGTGATGTCATTGTTTGGTTTGGTATCAGGATAATGATGGCCTGTGAAGTAAATTGAGAAGTTTTTTGTTGTTTTTTTTTCCTCTAGTTTTTGAAAATATACAGGATTAGTATTTTTTTTCTATCCCCAATCTTGATTAGTATTTTTTAAAAATAAGTTTCTTAAATGTTTGATAGAATTTACTAGGGAAACAATCTGGGGTGGTTTTTTGGCTTTTGACCTTTATTAAATAGGTAAGTTGTAAGAGATTCAGTTTTTCCTCAATTAGCTCAATAAAAAGGGTACTTTCTTGGCGTAAATAAAACCAAAAATACATTAGGCTTTATTCTGCTTTCAAATTTAGTTACATGTAGAAGGGGCATTTATGAGAAGTTGAGAGCCAGGCTTTTCAACTGTATATTTTAAACATTCAGTAGTGTCTCCCCCTACCCCCCAGTCCACAGGGGATAACATTCCAAGACCCCAGTGGATACCTGAAACTGCAGATAATATCAAACCCTGTATTATAGAGAGTTTTTTTCTATACCGACATACCTATGGTAAACTTTAAACTCCTTTTGCACTTTGGGGCCATTAAGTAAAATAAGGGCTACTTGAACACAAGCGCTGCAGTACCATAGCGGTTGATCTGATAACAGACAGCTACTGAGTGACTAAGGATGAGCATTGTGTACAGTGGAGACGCTGAACAGGATGGAGTGAGATTTCATCATGTGCATTTTAAAACTTGCAAATTGTTTATTTCTGTAATTTTTTATTTCAGTTTTTTGGACCATGGTTGACCATGGGTAACTGAAACCACAGAAAGTTAAACTGTGGATAAGGGGGTGACTGCTGTAATAGGGAAATAATTTTATTGTTATATTTTGGCTAAATGTTTAATGCTGCCCTTGTTAAAAAATATTTGATTGCTTTGCTCATTCACCTTTGTTTTTGTTAATTTTAGGAACTTAAAAGGAGTCTAGAAAATCAAGCCGAAGGGAACACGGAAGGTCAGAATTCCCAGAGTCCTCAGCAGATCTCACAGTGTCTCAACACATGCTCAGAGCAAAATGGTCATGTTCCCGAAGTACCAGATACACAACCAGTTCTGCAATATGGTAATCCTTATGCAACACAGGAAACAAGAGGTTATTAAAATATTTTTAGTTTGGGGTTAGCTGAATATGGAGTTTTTTGTTTATATCTTTGTGGAATTAGAAAACGACTGGTACAGTCAACTCTAATAGAAACATTATTTTATAACAAGCAGTTCTAATGTTTAACACTAACGGGCTTCATCCACGAGTGATACACCATGAATGAGTAGTCTGTTTGCTTATTATATATAGTTCTTATTTTAAAAAATCACTTGGGTTTAAAGTAAGAGCATTTTATTTTATTTTTTTGATGAGTTAAAATGGTCCTTTATATCCTATTCATCATAGCTATATACAGAGATTCTAATTTTAGTACCAGGTCTCACCCTTTCCTTGCAAAAAATTGCTTTTCAGATGGAGCAGATGGTGCTTTTTACCCAGATGAAATCCAAAGGCCCCCTGTGAGAGTTCCGTGTTGGGACCTGGAAGATAATGTTGTCTGCAGTCAGCCTGCTCGGAACCTGAGTCGGCCTGATGGTTTAGAAGACCCTGAGGATAGTAAAGTAAATTGAGTTTCCCTTTTCTGAGCCTGCCCCGTTTATTTTCTTTCTTATGTAGAGAGTTACATGGTTATCTGTGTGTTGAAAGAGTATGTGTGCCTTTGAGTATACATGATTGCTTACTTGATTTTTTGCAAAATCTGCCTGTATTTAAATTTGAAAAGTCAACCATTAATATTTGTACTTAAAATATTAAGTTCAGAGAATGAACTCAGAATAATGATAGTTTAATCTTTAAAAAAATGTTTTAATGAGACATAATTGACATATAACACTCTTAGTTTTAGGTGTACAACATAATTCGATCTTCGTATATATTGTGGAATGATCACCGTAAGTGTAGTTAATATCCATTTTAGTTACTGTTTTTTCCTCCTTTTTATGAGAACTTACAAGATCTACTCTCAGCAGCTTTCAAATATATAATATAATTGTTGTCACAGATGGTTTAATCTTAATTATCACTTACTAAGTAATTCTTTTGATGTAGACATACTTGGCTGGAAGAAGCAAATTGTTGAGGACAGTATTATATGTCAGTGTGCATCTTTTCATTTTAGCATTTATGTCCCACTTTAAGTTTTAAGGTGGACTCTTTATTTAGTTGGAAAAAGAAGGACGTGTATATATCATTCTTTTTCAGAGAAGTACTCTTGTAGACATTGTTAGTATTTTGTCTCTCAGCAACCCAATTCTGATAATAATTGAATTAGTTTGTGTAGCATGTCATTATTTTCACTGGATTTAAGAGATTTCTTCACTATTTAATGGTTTCTTTTGCTCATAGCAGCTCTTTTTTGGATTTCCTGTGCATTAAGAGGAATTGAAAAGAGATGCTTTATCGTGCTCTTTGCAAGTACAGCGGTATCATGACCTGTTTCTCATTTAATCTAGTTTGCTGCATTTAATTGCTATTAACCTTTGCAGAAACTGATCAGTGTTCAGACAGGCATGATTTTAGCCCTAGTGCTCAACACTCATAATGGAGAAAAATGTATTTCTCTCTCCTGCCTTTTGGCCTCCTATGTCCATTACTGGGAATAATTAGGAAAACTGTCAGAACTTTTGTAGCCTATTTAAGGTCTAGAGTATCATTTTATTGCTTTTTCACACCTTTACTTCACATTTTGCATATTTAATATGATCATTCTTGGCACAGATGTTACATGTGACAAGCCCTTCTCTTCCATAGTCATCTGCTTCAGTTTAATTAGCAGAATGTTCTCTCTGATCTGGGTGCTTTGCCCTTCTGCAAACCCATGAGAAGCAGTGTTCGAGTCTTGTGCTCATTTGCTGACATGCTTAGATTTGGTAATGAGATAGAAGGGCTCTTAATAGGCACACCTTGGGTAATAGTATTTTGCAATCAAGATTTTTCACATTAGACAGAAACACATTTTTATGTACATTCATAGCTTGTTTTTTTTCTTTTCTTTTTAAAAAAATCTTGTCATTATAACAAGAAATGACTTGCAAATGAAGTATTTTAGTACTTTTAGGGTATAAAAAGCAGATTTGAGTTGCCCTGTCCTTTTTCTCTGGTTCTCCGTCCTGGGAGTGATTAGCAGCCACCGGACCCAGCCTCTGAGAGTCAGGGTTGAGGCGCCCTCTTGCAGTTACACACCTGCCATATCTCTTCCCTTCTGCGCCAGAAACTGTGGTCAGCTCTCAGATCAAAAGCCTTTTATGACTCCCTCTTAACCTAATTGCAGTAGCAATAACTGGAACATAATGATGATGATGGTGATGGCAACAAACAGTTCTATAGTTCTATTTGCCCACTAATGCTTAGCTCTTTAAATATATTAACTCATTTGTTCTTCAGAGCAGTCCTATGGGGTAGGAACTATTGGGTTGTCGGAAAAGTTGTGACTCATTTTTGCAACGAAAAACAGAAAAAATATGCCATGACTTTTCTGACAACCTAATATTACTGTCTCTATTGAGAGACAGGTTAGCTGGCTTGTGTCACATCACACAGCTGGTAAGGGTACAGCCAGAATTTGAACCTCATCAGTTTGTCTGTAGAAGCTGTGGTTTTGAACTGCCTATGAACTTATCAAATGGGCTAAAGCAGAGGTTCCCAAACTGTCTCAGTTCATGGCACCTTTCACATCTCAGTAAAATTTTTTTTATAGCGCCCCATACATAGGCTAAAAGAAATACTTGCAATTAACTAACAAATATAATAACCATTTGAAAAAAATAATACGCATGCATTGAAAGAAAAATTCATATTTTTGTTTCATTCTTTAATAACCATAGTTATTAATGGGATGAGTATTGTTCACCCACTATACAACTTCTCAAACCTTGGGATCAGATTGGACAGGCCACCTTTATTTCCTGTCTCAATTGATTTTTTACAAGACACACGCTTTATATCTCAGCAAGGACTGCTAAAACCCCAGCTTCTCAGAGATCTCATCAAAAGGAAGGTAGTGCTATCTAATGTTGAAACTGTGAGCTATTTTGAACTGGTTGTTCACTGGTTATCTAACAAAGGCGGAGTGTTTTTGCATATTTAATTAACTTAGAAAATTGAAAATACCATGTTAATACCCCTGTGAATTTGCTGTGGTTACCTTAGCTTCCTGCACAGTTTTTGGAACCATGGGTCTAAAAACTCTTGCTACTCAAAAATGTGGCTTGTGGACCAACAAAGAGGTATCTCCTGGAAGCTTGTTAGAAATGCAGAATCTATGGCTTCACTGAGAACCACACTGCATTTAACAAAATAATTAAGCGATCACATGCTGAATAAAGCTTGAGGTGCACTGGTCTAAACTTCCTAAGCTCATCATTCAAAGCTGGATTACTTGCTCTTTAACACACGTTCTACTTTCCAGTTGTTTCTGTGCCTTGGTTCAGTGTTTCCCTTCCACCAGGACTGGCTTTACTCCTTTCCCTTCCATCTCTGAAAAACTAAGGCTCACACGTTCTATTAAAGTGCATTTTGTTTGCAGCTTTCCATATGAATTGTTCACTGTGAATCCCCAAACTTGAGTACAAATAGTTTTTTTGTTGATACTCATTTTTTTTCTGATAAGTTTTTAGCTATTAATATTATTCTTGGAAGGATCTGTGATTCTCAAAGGGTCTGACTCCAAAATTGTTGAGAACCACTACTTGAAAAAATCAAGGCCTGCTTACTATTTGTCATGGTGTGTTGAGTTTTTACCATTCTTAAATTTTGACATTTTTTTATGTTGTCTTACTTAAAATTTTTATTTTGGATTTTAAATTTTATTTTAAATTTATATTTTATTTTGTTTTTTCTGTTTACAAAAACAGTATACAATTATAGTCCATTTATTTTTATCAAGAATACCAAGATATTTCAATGGGGAAGAATATAGTCTTTTCAACAAATAGTGTTGGGACAATTGGATATCTATATGCAAAATAATGAAATTGGACCCCTACCTCATACCATCTACAAAAATTAACTCAAGTTGAATCTTAGTAAGAGCTAAAGTATAAAATTCAAAAGAAAGCATAGAGTTAAGTCTTTGTGATATTGGACTAAGCAATAGATTCTTAGATATGACAGCAAAAGCACATACAACAAAGGAAAACATGGATAAATTGGACTTCATTATAAAAGGATTACAGGATGAGTTATGAATAAATTCTGTACTGTTCTGTTTTAAAATACATATTTCCAACTGATAACTGTGTCCCTGGTTGGTATTTCTTAATGCTGAATTTTGCCTTTTCTATACCATATATTTAGTACAATGCCTTTCATAAAACAGGGGCTGTTTAAATATTTGTGATTTAATGATTTTAGTTAAAGAAATGCATTTAATTATTTCTATTTTGTGCCTAATAAACTATTTATGTTCAGGTCATCTTAGAAAAGTAACTTTTGGTAATAGCTTTATTGAGATACAATTCACATACCCTACAATTCACCATTTAAAGTATACAATTCATTGGTTTTTTGGTATAGTCACAGAGTTGTACAACTATCAATTTTAGAACATTTTCCTCACCACAAAAAGAAACCCTGTACCCTTAGCAGCCACTTTCTCCTCCTCTATTCCCCCAGCCCCAGGGAACTTTTAATATACTTTCTGACCCTATCTATTTGCCTATTCTGGACATTCACATAAATGAAATCATATAATAGGTGGTCTTTTGTGACTGGCTTCTTTTATTTAGCACATAATGTTTTCAAGAGTCATCCATGTTTTAGCACATATAGACGTTTAGCATGAAGAGAGACGTTTAGCATGAAGAGTACTTTATTCCTTTTGAATGTTGAATAACATTCATTATATGAATATACCACATTTTGTTTATCCTGTCATCTGTTGGTTGACATTTGGGTTGTGTTCTACCTTTTGGTTATTGTGAATAAATGGTACAGCTGTGAACTTGTGCACAAGTTTTTGTTTGAATACCTTTTTCACTTCTTTGGGATATATACCTAGGAGTTGAATTGCTGAGTCATATGGTAACTCTTGTGTTTAACCTTTTGAAAAACTGTCTGCTTTCCACAGTGGCTGCACAATTTTACTTAACTCTCAGCAGTGTATAAGGGTTCCAATCTCTCCACATCCTTGCCCACATGTGCCTGTTGTTTTGATTATAGCCCATCCTAATGGGTGTGAAGTGGCATATCCTTGTGGTTTTGATTTGCCTTTGATGGCTAATAATGTTGAGCATCTGGAATGTGCTAGTTGGCCGTTTGTATATTATCTTTGGAGAAATGTCTATTCAAGCCATTTGGCCATCTTAAACTTGGATTATTTGTCTCTTATCAGATACAGTAGTCCCCCCCCACCTCCCAGGCAAGGGGGATATGTTTCAATATCCCCAATGGATGCCTGAGCATTTGGATAGTCCTGAGCCCTATATGTATATACCATGTTTTTTCCTGTACACACATACCTGTCATCAAGTTTAATTCACAAATTAGGCACAGTAAGATTAACAATAACTAATAAGTAGAACAGTTACAACAATATACTGTAATAAAAGTTACGTGAATGTGGCATTAAGTAAATAAGGGTTACCTGAACCTAAGCACAGTCAACCTAATAAGACGGCTACTAAGTGACTAATGGGCAGGCAGTGTATACAGCCTGGGTATATTGGGCAAAGGGATGACTTGGGTGGGGGTGGGGTGAGGATTTATCCTGCTACTCAGAATGGCATGCAATTTAAAACTTACGTTTTATTTCTGGAATTTTTCGTTTAATATTTTCAGACTGGTTGACCGCGGATAACTGAAACCGTAGAAAAGTGGCGAGTACTTTATGAGTTGCAAATATTTTCTCCCATTTTGTGGGTTGCCTTTTCACTTGTTTGGTGATATCTTTTGCAGCACAAAAGCTTTTCATTTTGATGTCAAATTTGTTCCTTTTTTTGTTTGTAGTTCTGTTGTCATATCATGGAAACCACTGCCTGACCCAAGGTTTAGGAAGATTTGTCCCTTATTTTCTTCTAAGGCTTTTATAGTTCTATAATAGCTCGTACATTTAGGTCTTCGGTCCATTTTGAGTTAATTTTTGAATATGAATAAAATTAACATTTGAAAAGTAAGAGATGTTGAAAAAGTATTTCTGATTTCTGATACCTTTAAGTTACATATAGTTCAATGATATTCCTTCACTGACATGATATATTACTAGAAATGGATGTTTGGCAGAGCCTAAACAGCAGCATCTCAGAAAAGTGGAATGTTGACTAACACTACCAACTTATGAGGGCTAAAGATAAATATTAATTCTCTAGTTTTATATAAAAGTTACCCAGAGTCATTGGTACTCTCTTTCTCTTATGTGTTGACATTGGCCTTGGCAAATATGTTAGTTACCTAAAGAATGCTCTTCAATTAAAGTAATAATTATCAACTTTAGCAAAAGTTTTATTAAGTGGTAGACCTTTCTTCCTTGATATTCATTGCTAACCCCTGAATGATGGCTAAATATTTAAATTAGTAATTGCTAGCAAAGGTTCTTCACAACACAGTTTGGGAGTACGCCGTCGCCGGCGACTCATGGCAGCCCAGCTCCAGGTTGAGCTGTTGTTCAGCATCTTAGCTGTGGAGGGCAGTGTCACTGGCCCTCATATGTGGGATCCGAACCGGGGCCCTCTGGTGTCCAAAGCCAGCTCTTAACCAACGCGCCACTCGGCCGGCCCCAGGAATTTTTTTATAGACTAGATTTTGAGTTGGGCATCTAATGAGAAGTTTTTGAATTTCAAATAGAGCAGTTTATCTTAGCTTGTTTCCTTTGCTTATAAACCAGTTTGTAATAGAAATAGTTTTGTGCTGATGGGTCTAAAGGTAGATGAACAATGTAAGGTGGTTTAGACTTTTATACAGATTTTATACTATTAAAAATGAAGGAAGATTTAATTATTTGGAATTGTTCATAAATAGATTTCAGCATGGTATTCCCAGTAAAATTTGCTTACAGGATTATTTTAGCAGTTGAACTAAAATACTAGGTACTGATACTCTTAAAAACTGCTGTTCAGAATTTCTTTGGGTTGACAACTTTCAGTTCTAAAACTTGATTATTTTAGTAATTTTGGGTAGAAATCTTCCTAACATGATTCTCTGCCTTCTTAAAGAATACCTAACATAATCTTGGTGGCTCAAGTTTTTATACATTTAAAATTCAACATTAAAGATCTAGTCATGTTCTTTTAAGATATAAAGTAAAGCTGCGTGATCCAATGCTGAAATATCAGATGTTCTGAGTTCTTTCTGCTTTTCTCTTTTTACCAGTAGCCATTTTTTGTTGCTGGCAGTGGGCCTACCTTAATAGCTTCACTTCCCACCTAATTACTTATATTTAATCTCGTATGGTTTTGGAAACTAATTGATGAGTAAAGTAGAATAAATGTAGTATTTGTGAGTGATAATTGACTAGTCATTTTGCATGTTAAGATCACGACAGACTTTACTATATGAATTGGCTATTCATAGAACTGACCACATACTTTCTGGTTTTGAAATATTCTCTGAGTGGGTGATTTCTTATTTCATGGGAACTCGTTATGTTTCATAATATCCAGAATTCTACTCTTGAGTTTCTCCCCTGTTTTATTAGGTAATAGATGGTAGCATAATAGGGTCATCATTACCAAATTATATCACTTAGGACTAAGTATAAATTGCTTCCCTCCCCCCGATATTTTACGAGCAGGGTTAACATGTTTGATAGGTTGGTCTGACTTAGCTAGCAGCAAACTCTTGTTAGCTGATTCATGAAAGCAGTAAATCGGTGTAAGGTAGTAGCTGTTATAAAAAACGGGAAAGGAGGTTGTAAGATTTTTGGTTCCATTAAATTTTCGCCCCTAGAAAGTTCTGTTTTATTATAAATACCAAGAATTTTGAAAAGTAGGATTATCAAGACCTTTCCTTTTTATCTTTTCCCATTATTAAATAGCATTTCAAAATTTCGAAGATGTTTTTCTTCAAAGAAAAATGAGAAAATTTTGTTTCTGTTTGATATGTGGTTGTTTAAGCAGATTTGATGTTTCAGATATTGTTACTGTCTGTCCTACAGTTAAGTTTAGCACATTCGACTGTATCATTCTCCCTCTTTGTACCTACAGATTTCAAAGCTCTGTATTTTAGGTACTCGAAGACTTAACTTTTGAAGTGTATAAAGTACTTGTCTTATTTTCCCCAATTCTTCGTTCAGTTATCTGTCCTGTTTTTCTTTGCCCAGTTATATCCTAAGAGAATCATAAATGCAAACAAAAGTTCATCCTGTGATGAACGGGGTGGGGGAGAAGCCTCTTACCCCTTCTTAGACCATTCAGGAGGGGATAATTATCAGAAAATGGCCAAGTACACCTCCCTTCTCCCCCAAAGATAACTCAGTTTGTCTTTTGTTGGTTCACATTGAATTTCCTACCACATACGCTTGGCACAGGCTTTGACTCCTTAGCCCTCTGATAGCAGCCCTGGGATAAGCATGGCCCCCCAGCAACATAAGGACTTGCATTAGTGCCACCTCTGCCTGGTTATGCGCTGTTAGTTCATGACTGGAAGGAGAGCAGCTAATAGAGCTGCTCAGAGAAGACAGCAGATGGGCACTGGCTGTGATGTGGCTGTTTTTGACGTGAAGTGCGTCTCTGGCTGTTGATGCAGCATGGACAGCTCCCTAAAAAGTAGACCACAGGATGCAGGCATGGAAATTCACACCAGTGTTTTCTTTCAGATTCACCCAGATTTACCCATTTTTAGGCGTCTTCATTGACAATCTATTAATCCAATACTTAATTTTAAATATTATTCTTTCACAACAGGGCTTTGAGGCCTGTAGTTTGGTGCATTGCTTTGTTTGAACATGGTTTTCCAGTTGTATTTGCCTGTGTGTGCGTGTGCCTGAGCACATACACGTGCAAACTCATATATTTAACGAATTTTCATATCATGTTGTCAAAAAGATGGTCTTACAAATTAATAGTCAGAATAATAGGAATAATAGGAAAGATAATGTAGTGTTAAAATTTTTATGGAATAAAAAGTTACCTACCTGTCAGCTCAAAAAAGTGTACTGATCTCTACTTCATTCACACATACAGGTGTGGTACACTCTCCATTCCATTAAATACTGCTTTTTATTTCAAGAAGGCAAGACTTAATCCATAGCGAAATACTATAAAAATTTCTCTTTGTGAAGATATAATTAAATGGTAATAAAAGTGAACATTTTAGAAGTGTAATCTTATTTTCTTTATACTGTGCTTGAGTTAATTAAGGAACTTATGTTTGGTTTCACTTTTCTCAAAAGTTGTAAAATTATTTTTTGCCAGGAAGATGAGAATGTGTCCGCTGCTCCAGATCCTGCCAGTCAGCATGTACATGGGCATGGAGCAGGCTTTTGCTTTGATTCCAGGTAATTTCTTTCTTGTGTAGAATTTGGATTAGATAGACCAGTGATTCTCCAAGTTTGCTCCCTGGAAACTTGTTAGAAGCACATATGATCAGGGTCCTCCCGTACCTTTGAACCCGAAGCTCTTGGTGTAGGCCCAGCAGAGCGCTTGAACGTGCCCTCCAGCGAGTGCAGTACATGGCGCCCTTGAGAACACTGGTGTTAAACCAAGTGAATACTGGGGACATTAGAAATTGTATGAATTTTTATAGATTTTCAAGAGGCATTTTGTTAAAAAATGAATTCTTGTCACTAAGCCTCATTCCACATAATGTTATTGAATTTTGAGGATTTTCATGAAGAAAAGATTTTTCTTTGCCAATCTAATTTAGAGGCTTTTATAAATGGTTCACACAGTTGTCACTAGCAAGCATTTAGAAGCAGGAAAAGGTTTCTGGAGTAACTGAAGACTTTCAAGGTAAGTTGTGTAGTGTGACTGTCAGCTTAACTAGATATATGTAGCCTTGTCATATCTTGAAGAATACTGTTAGAAGTTTATTAGAAATGTGAATTGTTTCATTTTCCTATTTCTTCAAGCTTTGATGTTCACAAGAAATGTCCCCTCTGTGAATTAATGTTCCCTCCCAACTATGATCAAATCAAATTTGAAGAGCACGTTGAAAGTCACTGGAAGGTGTGCCCAGTGTGCAGCGAGCAGTTCCCACCTGACTACGACCAGCAGGGGTTTGAAAGGCACGTGCACACCCATTTTGACCAGAATGTTTTAAATTTTGACTAGTTACTTTTTACTGTGAGTTAATAATCCAGGTTACGAGCTTAACAAAATCATCTCAGACCACTGAGGAGGCCACAGGGAATCACTTTTGTGCGCCTGTGACTGCATTTTCTGACTGAGAGCTACTCTGAGTTTGGTGTTACTAGGGTCAGGGTCAACTTTTGGCTTATCTATAAATACAGTTTTAACCTCTTTTAATCTTACCTGCTTAAGAAAAGAAGTTCTTGATTATTTGTATCTTTATTTATTCCCTAGTTTGCAAAATTATATGACTAAAGGAAACAAGGATTACGTTAATGTTACTGCACTGAAAACATGTATGTATAATGTGCTATTTAGACTATTTACAAGTTTCTGTTGACCTTGTTGATTGAGCATGACTACTAGATACTATGTAACAAAAAGAATTTATCATAATAGTCTTGCAAAGTAAATCTTTGAATACAGAAACTTGCATAATTTAGCCCATTAGATGATTGTGTTTAACCCTCTTTAGAAATGGAGGTGTACGTAGAATGAGATCACATGTTTGCAGTATAGCAAATACCCTTTTTCATTTGAAATGTTTGCTTTAGGAATTCATGGAAGTCATATTTTGCTAATCTTATGACTAAAGAATTTTAGAGTAACTTGAATTACTAAATTTAAGCCATCTTAAAGTTGTATTTCTAATGGGAAAATGGAAGAAGATATGTGTGTACAATCATTTTATATTAAATGATCTCAACAGTGGTATTTGTGGCATAAAGTCACAGAAAGTGTATCTGTATCTTTTTCACATTTTCCTGATGAGAGTATAACTGAAATACCATTGTTAGTGATTAAAAATGTAATACATAAACCAAAATTAATGTGTTTTAAGTTATGTCTCTGCTTTGTATAGTATTCTCATTAACATTAAAGGGCACATTTTTGGAGGTAATTCCATTGTCAAATTTATTTGCGATAGTTTTTCATTAAGTCTAGCATCTTGAATGTTTTTTTTATTTGTGCCTTTCATCTGAACTGTATTCCTTTGTTTTATAATATGAATGTTAAGAATTTAAAGTTCTGACTTTTTGGTTCTGCTGCTTTTGTAGTTATGAAAATATTTAATCTTGTCCTAATAAGCAAATTATTGGGTTGTCGGAAAAGTCATGACGTATTTTTTCAGTTTCATTGCAAAAATGTGTCATGACTTTTCCGACAACTCAATAGCTATTTAAGATGTTAAGCTAATACTCAGCTTGGTGGCATTTTGGGTGCTGTATATGTACTGCATTATACATCATGTTGCTTGTATTTTTTTCTTGGAGCACAACTTGTATATTGTTGGAATCCTTTAAGAAGGTTTCTGAGTCAGGCCGTCAGATGCCAGATGTTAGGACGTGGCAGGCCTGGGGCAGTAGTGTTGAAGACGCCATGTTTGAGTTTTCTAGTAAGCAGAATGTATTCAAGTAAAATACATACAGTGACAGGAGCGTTTTTGTTGCATTAATAATTATGGACCATGCTCTCTGAAAAACCTTCGAATATTATAGTCCACTACTACCAGTGAAATAATTGTTCACCTTACTGGTCTAAATAGTTTTTGGCCCCAAGCTTATAATTATTTTTCTTTAATCTTAAGTATTTTGGTGTTTTTCAGTTATCTTTTTGTAATGATTTTAAAATAGGTTTAATCCCGTTGAGAACATGCTTTGTATGATTTTTATTCTTAGGAAGTGGGTGTTCTGTGTGAGCTCACACATTATGTATTTGCTGTTGTTGGATGCAGATTAGTGATTCTCTAACTGCTGTATCCGTACGTTACTGATAGAGGGTGCTGACAGCTCCAAGTAAAGTAGTGGATTTATTTCTCCTCACAGTTCTATCACTTTGCCTCCCATATTTTGATGTCCTGTTGTTAGGCAAAAATTATTAAGGATTGAAAAGCAGTGCATTCTAATCTAAGCAAAAAAATAAATATTGTTTTCATGTGTCAGCTGAATTCTGCAAAAAAAAAAAAATGCAGGGGCTGGGGGGGCGGGGGGCGCAGCCCAAGGTAGACCAAGGCACTGTGTGGATATATCAGTTCCTATGGTAAATGTGATACTGGCTTTTCATAATGAATGCTAATGAAAATAAAGAGCCATCTTTATTTTGGGTCAGAGACAGTTTATTTTAAATGTGATTTCATTTACATTTATAAGCAGCTTTTCTTGACAGGAATTTGGATTCATTAAGTTGCCTTCAGTTCTAAAACCTCTGTTGCTTTCAAACTTAATGTCCTCTGTCCCCAACAAAACATATGAAAATATAATTTAAAGCACAGTTTTCACAGACACAGTACAATACATTCACTATACACGGTATAACAAAATATTCCCATCCTTACCGGTTTAGTAATACTGTCACAATGAATAAGCAAATAGAAATTGGAATTTGTTTTGTAGTTGAAAGAAATGTTAACATGCACAATGCCTATTTTATGACTGTTTAGCTGTTGAACTACTGATCCAGCCTGCAGTTTCTTGCACTAGAAGGAGCGAAGCTAAATAATTGCTGGCCTAAAAACGTTTTGGTCAATTATAGGTAGATACGAAGTAGCCAAGTAGGGCCTTATGCACTGACTAGCTGCTTCTCATGTCTGGATCACCCTTTTAAACACACAAGATAACACTGTATATTCAGGACCAAGACCACTCTTAAGAGAGCTGAGGACATTTTTAGAGGGCAGTGTCTTTATAAATACTTAAAAACTCCTCATTATGAGGGGTTCACAACTTAAGAATATAGAAGCTTACCCATTTGGTTAACAGAATTGTCTTTCTTTCAAAGTGTCTGAAAAATCGAGGAGGGCCACCTGCTTTCCAGCTGTAAGACTTGCATCAAATGGGGATATGGGAAGAAAGTTACAAGCCGTGCGAGTTTGCTTTTCACCAATTTTGTGAGCAGTTGGCCATCTCAAAGCAATTTTTATTGCATAATTAGGCAACTGGTAAACTCTTATGATTAAGGAATAGCACTTGGGAGAAAAGAACACTCAAGGCATGATGGTATTGTTGGTGAGAAAAACTTCAGGAATGGTCCAGACGTAGGTTATTCTAAGGGATCATATATTCGTCATTCTTTCTTTGACCACCTGTTGCAAGAAAGCACTTAATTGTCAATAAGGCTCAATTTCATATTTCAGCAAATTGTTTTATAAAGCTAAACAGACATTTCCAATGGGAATACATACGTCTACAATGTGATAGGAAAAGGGCCTTTAAAAAAAACTTGAAAAACACAATGAGCATGAAGAAGAGGCAATAGGGGCTTTAACAAAAATGTTTCTCTGAACTGTGCGTGGAATTTTAATTCTTATTTTCAACCCACAGGTTTGTTAGGGCAGTGGTTGTAAGAATTGGCAACACATAAAACAGTAAATCTGTTGGCAATAGAGAACTACAAAGTGCTTTAAAACTTCACCTAAAGATGAAGATAGAACTAAATTTCACACACAAAAATTTGTACGTAAGTATTTCAAAGTGTTTCCTAACAGATTTCAAGGATAAGTTGTTCACTAAACTGGTATCTTGGTCTGCAAATATTGTTAGGCATAAGTCAATCCCCTTGTACCCAGCAGGCACTCGTGGATGCTTGTTAAAGAGTGAACTGAACAGACTATTTCGTACAAAAATGCCATTGGTAACACTAAAATAATTGGTAAGTTAGATGGCAAGAGTTTCAGCTTTTTAAAGGGCCAAAGGACTTGCAAGATAATATAAAACAGAAAGCACACCTTTTATGTATGTTATTTAAATATGAAAATATTTTAGCATATTATGTTAAACATTCTTTCTTAATTTATATTTCCATGACCTAAAGTCTTTCTACTCACAAATACTAACTCCATTATGTAAGGCATGGTAACCAGTTTGATAATGAAGGTATTATTTTGGTTTTGAACATAGTGAGTCGATGTGTTGAAAAACAACTTCAATCACATTACAATCTTGGGGAAAAGAAAACCTCAGTGCCAGCCCCTCCTCCCCCCCAGTTGCTATCACTGCGGAACAACGAAACGATACGCAACATGCCCTCAGTCATCTTTTGTTTTGGGGGAAATGTGCTGAAGAACCTAGAGCTTTTTTGTTTAGCACCTTATATCAAAGTAATGAAAATGGGTATGATGATTACATGTGCAAATGTACAAAATCATTAACTCTACAAAGATACATCATTCCAAAATTACAGAAAAAATTTAAAGCATGCATTTAATTCTTTAAAGGGTTGCTGAATGCTTCCCCTGAAAAAAGGTGGCTGTTTTCAAAATCAGCAACTGCTGGTGAGGATTTCTTGGCACAGTTAGGACCAGCATGTTATTGCTGCATCTTCCTGATAATCTCAGCTGACACCGGGGGATGGAAATTGATTGTGTGATGCCGCAGGCCCTGAGCTGTCTTGTAACTCTTACCACAGCGACATTTGAATGGTTTGCGGACACGAATCTGTGTTCTATGACCATTCTTAGCGTGGTACTTGATGCCATTCACATTCTGTGGAGGAGATAAAAATACCACATATTAGATGGAGTCACACTGTCAGACTGGGGAAAACTTGGTGTGCATCTGGACAGCAGTCAGCCATCTCCTGGATGGCGGCTGTTTACAGAGCAGGCTGTGCAGACGGGGTCATACACATAGCTAACAAGGCAATTCCAAATATGCCTCAATCTGAAAATGAAAGGACTGACATCAGATTTTATGTAAAGTGTGTTTTCAGACTCAAGACTGCGGAAGCACAGTTCCCTCAGTCTGGGTCTTCCTCTGAATCCTTTTTCCACTGTGAAGAATGTTAAAGATGGGCAGTTATATAAAAACACAAAAACCTCAGGATGCCCCCACACACTCCATCTTAACCCCAACTTTCAAATAAAATACAGGTTAGAGCAATAGAGGGTAAGATGCATATAAATTGACAACTGATGCTAATCCCTACCTTACCTAGAATTTTTGTCCGCTTCGTACTCTGCATTAAGTCAGCTCCCAGAGACAATACCTACCCACAAGTAAGTACTCATGAAGACTAGGCCCTGCTTTTATGTGCTGCATTCCAAACCTACAGAGAACTTTAAAAATCTTCAGAGTGTGGAAGTCGCAGCAACAGGACAGTTCCAGACTTCATACTGGCGCACCCATCTTAAATGATAACATAAAATATCAAAATGCTTCCTGGAGTTCCTTTAATGGGTTTTGCTAGCTTACTGTATTCTGTGTAAGACTCCATGCCTAGAATCACTTTACAGATTTTAACAATTACTATTGCTTATCCCAGTTAGTGAGGTATAAGTAAGAATAAATGGCAAAGGTGATAGTAGAGCATAGATCCTGGGAAATTTCCAAGTCAGCTCTTGCCAGATTAGGGAGAGGGAACAGAGAACATGTTTGAGCCATGACGCTGAGCACAGCTCACCGAGGGGGGGGCAGGCGGGGGGGGGGGCTGTTCCCTAAAGTGTTACCTGGATGTAGTCCCACCAGGCCCAGGCCCCTGCCCTCTGAAGGAGGCGAACACAGCTGTCTTCTACTCTTAAGATGCCCTTCGTGAGCTCCCAGAGAATGGGGTGGGGCTCTGCCGCTGTGCTGTGGGCGTCTAGCACAGGGCCTGATATTTGTGAGTGAAATGAATTTGTTAGCACATGCTTCACTATTCTGGAAGAAAGTGTGAGTTGCCATTCAGCAGTGTGTTTACTGCTTATTGTACCTTTCCCTCTTAGTCACAGCGCACATTAATATTTTAAAAGAAGTCCAATGGTAGAGTCCAGCTTGACTTTGTTGAACCCAGGGGTGCCAGATAGCGACCGTTGGTCATGTGTGGAGTCCGGAAGTTGTCCAGTGAGTCGAGTCATGAAGACCCTGTGCCCTGAACACCCCCCTGGCTGGTGGCCTTGGGCGCCCTCAGCCCTCGTCCTTCCGGCATCAGGCCCTGCATGCAGGGCCAGGAAGCCCTTCACTAGTCTTGAAGGAAGAGCTGCGGTGAGATACAAAGAGGGCAGTGATAATGGCAGAAGCAGACCATGAATACCATGAGATGGGCAGACCAGCCCAGCCAGCCCCCCAGAGGCCCAGGCATGGCTGGCAGCCAACCTGCATACACAGTCCCACCTGGCCTCTTGCTGCAACCACGAGAGACCCAGGCGAGAATTGCCTAGCTGGAGCCAGGCAACCCACACAACCATGGAAGATAATTATTTTAAGCTACTTGAAAGAGAGTTAATAATAGTTTTATGACCATTAGAGAAAGGCTGTCAAGTTGCCAAGTAATAGTAACAATATGCTAGAAAGTCTGGCTCACAAATGCCAGAAATTTGCATCTGCCTGCTTCATGTTCCATTTCTTAGCTCAGCGTGTTCATTGAGCACCTAGTAGGGCCCCTTTCTGTGGATGATGAGTTACCAAAACATTTCATGTACTTGTTCTCACAGGGGCTTGTTGCAAGATGGATCATTAAAAATCCAACTACCCCTGAGCCCCAGTACTACTCACACCTTGTCAGAAAACAGGAAACAAACCTCAACTGCCCAAGAAGCCAAAAGGCATAGCAACTCCAACAAGACCAGGGCATAGTCTCCATCCAGGCCTGAGCTTTTATAACTAATTAGGTGAGGGAAGGTTTGAAATTAGAAACCGAAAGCCACGAGAAGCCAGGCCAACACGAAATCAGATCCAGGGTTCACCAGGAAGACAAGCCCAGATTCCAGCAGGTTCTATGTTCCGATCCCAGCTTGAATGTGGACATTGTGTTGTGTGTCTGGCTGTGAGACTGAGGAAAACAGTCCATGCATCAGCCTGAGTCCTCTGGAAAAATTAGGAAACCAGTTACACTTTTGGAAACATATAGCCTTTCCAGGGTTGGCCAAAGAACCTAAAAAAAACCCCCTACCATACCATCTCTTTACCTTTGATGCTGTGATTTAAAAGTTTCACGTGTCATCGGACACCCTATCACAAATGTTAGTAAAGCTGTAATCAGACTCAAGATTTCCCATCTATGCATTCGCAGATAGCAGTGGGAACTCGCCCTTTTTCAGACTTGAGGGGCTGAAAGAGATTCACTTAAGTTGCTAATTTCAGAGATTCTAAGATGAGTTTGGTCTTTCAAACACATTAACAAAATAAATAATGGCAGGCAACTTGACAGTGGAATGCTTAAATCCTTTGGCCTTTGGAAAGAGGAAAGGGAATTAAGCTTCAGTAGGGCAAGGAAGGTAACGAGCATTGAGCCTCTTCGGCTGCGGACTTGATGTCTACTGTGGTACTCGGTACTCAAGTTTTAGATGAAACTGACAGATGCTCACTTGCCGAATCAGGAAGCTGCTCAAGGCTAGGACTGCAATGGGGACCCAGGGACGCCTGGTTCCAGAGTCCGTGTTTCCCTTCACAATTCCATGCACTGAAATAACAGCGCTAGGTGCGCATTCCTGGGTACAACCAGCTGTGGTCTTTGGGAAACCTGAGGAGTTGGGAAGAACTGGAGAACAGTTCTCAGTCTGGAGAACAGTGCTGATGAAGTACAATGGCCGCACGGGGCTCGCGTGTGAAGGCAGGCGCAGGGCAGGAGGTGCAAGGCAGGACCTGGGCAGGCTGGCGTCGGTTCACGTCCATGCCGGGAACTGCCTGCCCTGATGAGGGAACTGAGCCGGTCTGTGGACGTAAGCTGAGAGGCTCTTTTCAGAAGTCCACTGTGGACACCAAGCTGGCACCATCGCGTCCTTAACTATTTGATCTTCGCTGTTGGTATTCAGGCCTGAATAAGTACAATATGTGACATGTGCCCTTGATATAAAAACCATAACTTTCAATTTCCTGTGGGCCTTGATGTTCTACATGAAGGAGAGGATGAAGTCATTTGGAGATTTGATAAGAAAAGCGAAAACACAAGCTGGGGTTGCTGCTGGTGGTGGTGGTATTAGAGTTAGAAGCGAAGGCACTTGCCACAGCGTGGGGACACCGCGGCAGCCCCAGAGCTGAAATCCAGGCCACTCCCCGTTGGACTTGATGTGGCAGTGCATGGAATGTCCCGGCTGAACTGGACCAGAATTGGGTCTCTTCGTCCCTGATTATTAATCTGTACATTGTAGGTAATTGTAGACATTTAGAAAATACAGGACACAAAGAAGAACAGGTCTAACCACTATTGAACATCTGAGGTATTTCAGTATTTTTCCTATGAGATACATATCATACGAGATCGGATCTCATATTACCAATTTTTTGAAAATAGGATTAATGGCAGAAGGCTCCTGTGTTCCCCCACTGTTAGAAATTTAGCCTTTCCCACATTTGTGCTGACTTGAAATAATGTGATGAACATCCTTGTACATCAGCCTCTGCATCCCTGATGATGTGCTTCAGATAAATTTCTAGGAGGACCACGGAGCTCAAGTTCTGCTTATCTACGGCCAAGCTGCTGTCCAGTGACGCTCCTGCCAAGGCTTCTGATGGGGCCCTGGGGGGAGGCAGGGACGTTTCTATCCTCTGGGGGAGAGAATGGCAGAAGTGCTCCTTTTGGGGACACCCTGCGCTGCACTCGTGCTGCAGCGCATGTAGCTGTCAGAGGCCAGGATCTGTGTTGCTGAAATAACGTTCTCAGTGCAGCAGAGGAAGTTTGCACCGGGAGGGTTTGGCCTCTTCCGTTTCTTAAAAGTAGCAAAATGCTGTTAATCCCAGACACTGATGTAAAACTTTTCAAAGGGAAAAACCTCAAAGTGCGCCAACCCATCCTTTAAACCCACTCCCAAGTGTAAGGGACGGGCGTCCTTTCTCTATTGCCCGAAGTCAGAAGGAAAGTGGGAGCAGCACCGAAGTGGACGGGTCAGATGTCCCCGGCCCGGAAGGTGACTGGGAGGAAGTCAGGAGGAGTCACGCTGGTGCTGTGCGTTCTGGCGGTCAGTGGGGAGCCCACCGGCCCTCTTGGCCGTGCATTTTTGTGTCTCTCCCGTTATCCTCAGTATTTCCAGTGCCCAAGATCTGTGCTGGGTGCTGAGGAGGGGTCCATACTCTGTACGGCCTTGAAGTTACGAGGCAGTGAGTGCTCTGCCAGTGGTACGAATAGAGCGTGTGGAAAAGTCAGAGGACAGAACTTCGGGAGTGGGGAGTCAGTCTGGCAGGCGGTGAGGGCTCCCCAGAGGAGGTGGCATTTGTGCTGTGCCTTGAGAAATGAGGGGAAGTCAAATGAGCGGTACTGAAGGGGGGAGGAGGGGACAACCTCGGGGTTACCGTGGGCAACAGCTCAGAGACTCAGCTCTACTCCTGCGTCTTCTCCCTTGTCCTGCTCAGTATGGCGTCTGGGAAGGGAGAAAACCTCATCTTTTAGTTCTGCAAATGCCAAGGAAGTGGTGAGGACAGCCGATCTCCAGTCAGGGCCCCGGAGACTCCCTGGGTGGAGACCCCCTGCCGACGGGGCAGAAAACCAAGCCTGGAGTGGGCCTGGGAATAAACAAGGCAGCTGCGCTTGTGATTTCTGCCTGATTGCACAGCACACCAGCTCACTAAACCCCTTCTCTCCAACACCCAACCCAACAACCATGTTGCAAATAAGATGAAATAATTATACTGGAGACGCCGCTGTCCTGCGGCCGTAACTTCCCAGCAGAAAAAGGCAACCATGACCACATTCATCTCAAGCAATCGGTTAGAAGTACAATAGTTTTGTGTGTGTTCTTGTCCCCTCTTATCATTACTTCACATTCTGGCCAGGAAAGGAAATGCACGCGTCCCTCATGGAAATCAGGACGGCTCACTGCCACCACCCACGTCACCTGTCAGTGGTACTGAAGCAGCCCCCCGCCGCCCAAGTTCACTTAATTTTTCTCTTGGCCTCAGACGGAGAAAGCACTCGAAAACGCCCCCATCAGCCCAGACGTAGGCAGCTGCTGGAGGAAATTGCTGGAAACCCAAGAAAAAGAAAAGCAAAAGAATGACAAGAAAACAGAAATGCCCCAGGGGGAGGGATGTAAGAAAGCAGAGAAGCTAGAGGTGGGGACAGTGGGGAGGACAGATGTGTCCCCATCTTCGGCCAGAATAAAGGCTGCGGCGTCCAGCTCTTATTTTTGGTCCGCCTCCGTCTGCGTCATCACTGCGCTCCCTCTTTTAACATAGCGGGTATGCAAGACACCCCTTCAACAGTATTCAGACACAGGTGGCAACGCAGGGAGGAACCGCCTACGGGAAGCGTGCAGAGAGCTAACACCCGGAGAGCGGTCAGGGCCAGGTCAGTGATGGCGGTCCCTGCCAAGCTTTCTCCACTTTGAAATAAAAAGAAGGGAAACCCTCATTCTGCAATGCACATGAGCTTTCTCACCCTCCCCTGGGGCCTGGCATTCTCTCCTGCGTTCCCACTGGCAGCCTCCTGACAACACAGGCTACGTGTGCATTCTGAGGGCTCCCACCAGAATCGGGGTGCCCTGATGGGACCACACCTCTCCATCCCTGGGTTTTCATTTTAGCTTAAACAAAGCCCATCTGGACTGGCCATGGTAGAATTTTAACAGCATACAGAGGAGGCGAAACCTTGTGCCACTCACCTTGTGATACATTTGTGTGTCATGCTGTTATATCAGCAGCAGATACAGAAAGTACTGAAATAGGTTATTTGTTAGTGTTCAGGGACACATATTTGAGAAAGAGCACTATAAGAAGTGCTTATGCTATCACATTTTTCAAGCCTTAAAAAAAACCGTCAGTCGGCTGAGCTGTGAGTAAATTAGCATATCATCAAATGCCCCAGGTATGTTTCTGATCTACCTCAGTTTGGGTTTTAAAGAGCTGCTAACACCTCATGGGGAAGTTTGCACATTTTTTTTTCAAAAGTGCCCCCTGGACCCATACTTGATTGTTGTGGGTTTTTCTCATTGTTTTGTCCTTTTGAGTTTTCTTAATAGGAAATTGAGTGCCCCCAGCTTCCTATGACACCCAGAGCCAGGCCCTCAGACTCTGTGCCATCTACAGAGGACGAGGAAGCTTTGCTGAGAAAAATATCAAAGCCCCCGTCACTCCTGACCTCCTTTCATGCTGCTGGGGGCTGGGAGGCTGGAGGGAGCCTGCACGTCCTCAGCTGGAAGCTAAATACCCTACAACGTCTTCCAAAAGGGCTCTGAACTCAGCTTTCAGACTTCAAAGTGGTGTTCTGTGAGCCACCTGGGGAAGGTGTTTGGCCAATAAATAGGTGACACATTTCATACTCTGACCGATATGGCATGAATATGAAGACAATCAGAGGTATGGTCCTCCCACCAAAAAAATCTCCCGTGACCTACAGCTCCCCACAGGGCAGCTCGAGACCAGACCCCACCAAACGCCCAGACCCCCGGGCCGCAGGCCTGCGTCTCCGTGAGGCCCGCGCAGCCATCTGCTCTGCACGGGACAGGTAACCTGGGACAGGTAACCCTCGGCGCCTCAGAGGAAAAGCGGCTGCAGCGGAGGCGGGAATCCCCCTTTCTCCCCCTTTCCGTGCAGCTGTGCCCAGTGAGCCGGTGCTTTTTTACCTTGTATCTCTTTTTGCATCCAGGAACCGGGCAGGCAAACGGCTTCTCCTCCCCTCCGTTCATGCACATGGAGCTGAGGATGGCTTCGGAGCTGATGGCGCTCTCTGTGGTCCAGGACTCGTCGCTGTCCGACTCTTCATAATCCACCTCCTCCTCGTCATACTCACTGCCTGTGGGGTCACAGAGGGAAGCAGTGTCAGGAGCAGGGTCACTCTGGCCACCCCCAGAGCAGGAGGGGCGCAGTGACGGGACGGGCAGGTCCTTCCCCCCGGGAGAGGGCATTCCAGGCACGAAGGGACTGCAAGTGTGTCCAGCCTCTGGGGCAGTCCTGGGGGGTTAGACACCTGCATGCCCACCTGAGAGGCCACGTTCACGGCTTCCCACAATGCATGGCTACGAATTAGCTGGGGCAGGTCAGCCTGCGATTGCAAAGGTGCCGGGAAGGCTCCGAGGCCAAAACCGAAAAGAACCAATGGCCACAGACACCTCCAGCCCCAACGAACGTACGTACGCACGCACGCACGCACGCACGCTACGCCTGACGTCCCAACAGGTAGAATTCTGTCCCCTTAGTTTTATGCTTTATTGGCCTAGTCAATGCAAGAGGGAGAGGGGGGTTCTATTTTACACTTATTAGGTACCTACACTTTGGTGAGAATTAATTTCAGATCTTTATAGGTTGAGTTGGGAGGACCAAGAGGAAATTTGTAAGTAAAGGGGGGTTACCCCAAGCTAGGGAGCAGGGGGGACAGAGATGCCCGGGGCTCTGAGGGCAAACTGTCAGTGTCAGAACGCAGGTCTCGCTCTTGGAGACCAAACAATTTCCTCTCGCACCTGTCCCCAGGGAACTGTGCCCCGGGAGGGACGCAGGGCTGACACACGCAGTCAGACAGCCCAGGCAGAAGCAGTGGGATTCCCTGTGTTGCGGAGGTTAAGAGCTCTGTTCAGAATTAAATTTAAAATCTACGTCACTGACTTCTGCTCCGGGTGGCGGGGATGGAGAACCACTTCAACCAGCAGCCCCCTTCGGCTCTTTTTAAATGAGGTCCAAAGCCACTTATTTTGAGCTTTTTGCACAATACAACCCTGAAGGACATAATTCTACAGATCATAAACAGTGTAAAATAATATGTTGACAAGTCCTAATGCATTTACAAGCCCGGTGGAATAAATAGGAATTATAGCACAACATTAATAAGAATTATATGGCAGCAATTACAGCTGTGAAATTCATCCCCCAGGTGTGAGGCTAAATTGCACCAGGGGCCTGCCTGGGTGCTCCACGGGCTCACTCTGCTACATCAATTATTTCAACACCAAATATTGGCACTTTTATTGGGTTTCGTTTTAATAGGCATTAATAAGATTGTTTGAAGAGCCAGGAGCAAGGACGCCAGCGTCTGAGGCTAACACTTAAAAGGATCCAGGAAGGAAGGAAGGGACCTCAAGTGGACTGAGTGGCTCTTACGTTTCAGGCACGTTAGACGCATTATCTCATTTAATCTGGTGACCCTGTGAGGTGGGGATGGCTGTCACTTTCCGGAAAGTGAGGAAACAGAGCCCTATGGGGATCAAGAGCTTCTGCCTTTTCAATTAGCGATATGGGAGGTCACGTTTTCCCACGCTGCTCACTAGCCTCCAACGCCAGCAGCTTTCTGAGGGGGCCCCTCTCAACTTCCTTGACTTTGGTTCTTTACCATCTACCACTCAGGTGGAACTCAAAGCCGTCTGTTTTGAAGCCTGTTTAGAAACCGTCAGGTGATGCAGAAACAGCAATTTGGCAAAAATGAGGCTTTGGAGTAAAACGTGGGCTTTAGGAAGCCCCGCTGTCCGTGGCTGTGGCCCCCCAGAAACGAGACCCACCTTGGGAACGCTTGTACAAGACTGCGCACGGGTCTGCTCCACCCCGTCTCTGAGTCTGTGAGCTTTTAAGTGGGGCACTGTTGAGGATATTTTACTCTTAAATGCCACACGCTGGTGTCCTTACAGTGGCTTGTTAGACAACTATAAATGTTATTTCGCAAAGCTCCTCTATTAGGACTTCGGAAGGTCAGAATGACTAATTTATCCATCTTATTGGGCTAATTTGTTAACCTGAACACCAAGAACCATGCAACTTTTACAACTTAGGGGAGCTGCAGCCCAACTAGGGGCTTAATGAAACCCGGCAGAAAAGGAAACTTCAAAACTGCACTCGATGCAAAGGGGCCAGACCCTGAGGGGTGGACGCTGTGGGCATGGTCGCCTGGAAACCATGTGGCATCCAGCCCAGAGTGGGGCAGGGAGGGTGACCACACAACCGATCGTCACGCCAGGACACCTTTGCGAGTGAAAGCCAGTGCTGGGACAACAGGCCCAAATTGGCTCCATCCTGGGCTAAGCGGGCCACACATGCATCCCAGTCATCAGTACAGCCCACGGGCCTTAGGGTGCTCCGTGAAACTGTTTCCTTTGCATGGGGATCAAGAAGGACCTGTTTATACCTAATTGCGTCATAGACCAAAGAAGAGCAGTGCACAGGTGGATTAATGTCTTGGCTCTGATTCGCTGAGTGATAGCTCCTTGACCCCTACTTTCTCTTCTGTGAAATGGGTGCATAGCTCTTCCTTACCGTTTAATTTATGGATTAGAATGAATGTCTATAAGGACACCTGGCCCAGGAGGACCTGCTGCATAAAGCAAGTGCTTAAAATATGGAAGATCGTTTTTGTAATATTACATATACAGAGTACATATAAAATAATATTTTTAGAAAGGCCTGTTGTGAAACCAAACAAAAAATAACTCCGAGATGTTTGGGAATCTCCACTAGAAAAATTGCAAGAGCGACTTCATATCGAAACAGGCGCCGTGTTGGCTGTGGACTCTGCAGTGCAGGCAGATCTAAGCACCTCCTTCCACACTGAGGCCATGGGGACCAGGCTGGGAGCACAGGCAGTGCTACGTGAGCCCTGGCACCGCCACTGACAGGCTGTGTGACCCGGGCAAGTGACACCGCCTCTCTGAGCTTTAGGCTCATCTGTAAAACGGGCTGATAAAACTACCACCTCTTCAGGTTGTTGTGAAGAGTAATTGAGTTCCTGTTTTTAAAGAACAATGCCTGGCATACGGTAAGCATTAAAGGAGCATTTGGTAAATAAACAAGCAAGATGTCACATGAGCAGTTTATTTCATCCACTCTTCTGTTGCTCCTCTTGAGGATACCCGTTTTTCTTAAAACAGAGGAGTGTATGGGGGGATCCACTGTACCCCAAATGCTACCCAGTCATCAAACAGAACTGTCAACAGCTGTGAGGTAGTCCTGTTTGTCTCCTGCCAGAGGGCCAGCTGCAGGTAGAGGCCGCAGTTGTATAAACGCCAATTGCGCGGATGCTAGCGTCCACCTGGAGCTCCCGTCTGGAAAACCTGCCGGCAGGGCCCAGTGTCCTGCAGAAAACACCCGAGGCCAAAAACCCCAACTGCTCTTAGCCTGTTTTCTAACATCTTTGAACTCTAGGAAGAGCTAACCGGAAGCTAAAGTTACAGGTTTAGTTACCCAAAGCAACCGGGGTAACCCTGTCTCCTTTGCTTTAGTAATTTCCTCCTGTCTTTCCAAGGAGAAAAATAACCCCATCCTGTTTCTCCACGTCCGCGTCCTCTGCCATCTCAAAGCTGACTCCAGAAGGAATGAAATCCTAGCACTTTCCAGACGTCGCTGGAGACGGCCCCCAGCCATTCAGGGAAGGCAGGGCGGAGCAAAGCTGGGCCTCCTAGCAACGGCCTCCCAGCTTTTTGATCCTTCATCCCAACCAATAAAAAATTGGGACTATGAGTGTGTGTGAAGATATTTGCTGTAAATGACATATTACTGTGTAAAACATGCAAATGAAAGGATGAGGTTAAATAGTCAACACATGTATTAGTAATTATAAGAAATATTTTACGAAGTGTAAAGATTTCATATCTCCCTCCTCCTCCTCACAGACCACCTTGTGTGCCCACCGTGGGAGCCACTGCTCTCCAGGCCGGCGGTGGGGAGGTGGGGGTCAACAGGACACGTCACAGCCGGCTTTGAGGTGATCAGATGGAAATGAGGCTTTGGACTATTCCAGGGGAGGAGAGGGGGCTTTAAGGAATGGATGCATTCATTCATTTATTCATTCATTCACTCATCTAACCCTGACCTCGAGCGGAATGGGTACCCTGTCGAAGCCCTGCCCTGCGAGCCTACAGGTGAAGTGCTGGGCTCCAAGCCAGGAGACAGAGGGACAAAAACAAGCAGAGCTGCGTTCTCTGAGCCTCCACCATCCAGAACCCATAAATGTTAATTTCTGCATACTTTGGGAAGCAGAAATTAATAAAAAAGTATCTCCCTGTGTGAAAGAGGGGAAACACCCAACACCCTACCTGTGCTGTAAGCCAGGGCGGAAAGAGTTGTGGAGCATGGGAGTCACGGGGTAGAAAATGTAATGTCACTGTGCACTGTCGCTTGTAAAAACTGGCTGCCACTAGTCTTCCTGGGGTTGAATTTGCCATTTTCATACGTTACGTTTGCATAGTCCCCCCCAGGGGGGCCTGACGTGGGCAGGACAGCGGCTGAGAGAGGTGCCTCGGTAGCCCCAACAGCTCATGTCAGCATTTCCATTTGGGAATTGAGCAAAACCTAGTAGATAGGATTTCATGATAAGGCTGAAAAATTAGGCTGAAAATTCCTCCTGGTTGTCAGCAAAGGAAGTGAAAGTCAGAGCTGGTTTCATGAATCACACGAAAAGATAAGGTGGTCAGGAACGCCTGTACACACACGTTTTACCAACCGGCACGGAAGTCACATCACCGCCCGGGAGCCCCGAGGGCCTCCGCCGAGCTCACCCTCAGTCGCCCACAAGAGCCATGTCAAGTCTTGTCCACGCCCCTCAACGCTCTGCCCACCCTGCCCCCTGCTCACCCCTTTATGCATTTGGCCCACGATTCATTTTAGGATCTAGTGTTCTCGCTCTTTGTATTCATAAACATAGGACATACAGATAGATAAAAATATGCCAACCTTTTCCAGAAACCAAATACGCCACATTTTGCTTATAACCTAGGTCATTAATATTCATACAATAGTGATAACTGCAGTGACAGCAAATTAAAGCTCTCCTGGGGTGTCATACTGTGGCAAATACATTAGCAAAGAGCTCCCTTTCCG